CTGATGCAACCAGCCATAACGAGTGTTGTTTTAACGGGTCTGCGTTTTGGCAGGTCTACGTTTTGGGAGGATACCCTCGGAACACTTTAATGTAAATATACTAGTACAGTAGACTACGGTTAAAACGAACACGCTTATAACGAACTGACGGATATAACGAACTTACTTTTTGGTCCCGACTATTTGCTGTAGTTATGCTGTATATATGCTTATAACGAACTACGGTTATAACGAACTAAAATTAGTTGTCCCTTTGAGTTCGTTATAACCGTAGTCTACTGTATCTCTTTTGTACATTTCTTTTGTTAGCTATACACTCATCTTCTTTTCTGTTTTCCCTCGTATATGACTTACTGTATAAGCTTTGTAAAAACCATGGAGAGGGAGTCCTAAGTTGGATAACAATCCATTTCAATCTGAAAATATGTTTTAATTAAACATGCTCGGAATCTCTTATTAACCTGTGCACATCCAGTGATAATGACAACAAGTACTGAAAATGAAAATCAAGTGCTCACTGATCCATTAGCCGGGGTAATAATTCTCTGTGGGCTTTGAGCATGATGACCAGCAAGGAAAAGCGCCATACAAATCGAGTAGTGAGTGAGTGTGTGAGTGAGTGAGTGAGTGCGTGAGAGTTTAAATTTAGCCGCTAAGCAAATATTCCAGCAATATCACGGCGGGGGAAACCGGAAAATGGGCTTCACACCTTGTACCCATGTGGGGAAATCGAACCCGGGTCTTCGGCGTCACGAGCGAACGCTTTAATCACTAGGCTACCCGACCATCCCCATTGGTATTAGTTTTAGTTCTAGTAGTAGTAGTAGTAGTAGTAGTGGATCGTTGTTCACAATATCAATCACTGGATTGTCTCGCCCGACTCAAATATTTACAAGACGCCGCCATATAGCTGTTGAGCGTGCATTAAACAACAAAAAACAAAGAAATCTAATATTTACAGGCCGCCGTGATATAGCTGAATTGTGGCTCCCTGCGGCGTAAAATAACAATTACGACATGCCCATAGTGCACATAGGCAGTAAAATATTAGAGGGGATGTGTAATGTTAAACGGTCCTCGAGGGTCCACCACAACTCGGCACTATCAGATACACTGTACAAAGCGTTATCAGCGTCTCCGCGGTTGATTCGGACGGAGAAGTTGTCCGAAAGACACGCAAGTGAGATTTTATGAAAGCTTCATTCATCTCATTGTTCTGGGAGCATCAGTTTGTTGTTTGAAGCTGTACTCCGCGATAAATTCGAGCCATTTGACGGCGGGCTGTAAATAATTCGGTCTGGACCCGACCCTCGCTCTGGCCTTCAGCAACCCATGCTTGCCGTGAAAGGCGACTATGCTTGTCGTAAGAGGCGACTAACGGGATCGGGTGGTCAGGCTCGCTGACAAGGTTGATGCATGTCATTGTATACCAATTGCGTGGATCGATGGCTCATGATCTCAATCACTGGATTGTCTGGTCCAGACTCGATTATTTACAGACCGCTGTCATATAGCTGGAATATTGCTGAGTGCGGCGTTAAACAACAAAGAAACAATCGCTCTGTGTTTAGAGCTACCATGAAAAGTCTTGATAGACGGGATTTGTGTATTTAATGATGTAGCAGAAGGGGACTTCTCTGCATACAAGTGAGTGGGTATGGTTTTACGCCGCTTTTAGCAATATTCCAGCAATATCACGGCGGGGGACACCAGAAATGGGCTTCACACATTGTACCCATGTCGGGAATCGAACCCGGGTCTTCGACGTGACGAGCGAACGCTTTAACCACTAGGCTACCCGGCCCCTCTCTGCATACAAACCGTCATTGATATACTTGCTGTAGACATTATTCCGACACTTTTTATACATACATATATTCAGGGCCTAGTAAATAGATAAACCATGTCCGAGGGTTTTATGAGATTTAAACCCGCATCTGAGGGATAAAACCGAGGGCGTCAGATAAAGGATTTTTATTCAACTTAATAACCGATGTTTGCATTATAAAGTTCTTGAAAATGATGAACACCTTTTCAACGAAAAACGAATTATATACAATTCAAGAGTTGCCAGCACAAGTCAAGAGTTGAGTTGCTTGTCCCCTGTACAGAATTGAACTCGACCGGCCCCTTGTCAATTTTGCACGTGCAACACAACTTTCTCGTGCCAACAACACATTCTCAACCGTTACTTTCAAAAACAAGGACGGCAATGTGTATCTGCTTGAATTATTCATATGATAATTCACATTTCAATTCATGATAATGCAGAAAAATAACAACATAGTTTTCACACACTACAAAAAATAATAGTCAAAGTGGTAGTGAGTGAGTAAGTGAGTGTGTGGGTGGGTGTGGTTTTACGCCGCTGTTAGGCAATATTCCAGCAATATCATGGCAGGGGACACCAGAAATGGGCTTCACACATTGTATCCATGTGGGGGTAGTGAGTTAGAATCATAAGCGTTATAGCACGCGATGTGTGAGGGTAAGACATTGCCGAGTTCCCGTAGAGTTGCCGCTGTGCAGAGTTGCGTCCCTTGGACACGCCCAAAACATATGATTGTGGGTTCGAATCCCGGTTCGCCATGATTATGTTTCTAGGTTTGTCAGCACCATACCATGTGCTCGTAGGTTTTACCGAAGTGGTAAAGGTCTGAGACCTGCATCACCTGACACGCCGTGATATAACTGGAATACTGTTAAAAGCGGCGTTAAACCCAACTCACTCACTCACCCCGTAGAGTTGCCGGTAGGACAGGCGTCGTGATTGTGCGATCTGCAGCTCGTTCGACATGTGTTCAATAGGTTTGAGGTCCGGTGACCGGGCTGGCCACTCCATGCAGACAATGGTCTTCAGTTCCAAAGAGGCATCAACAACCCAGGCACGATGATGTCGTGCGTTATCGTCGAGGAGGATGAAGTCCTGTCCAATTGCACCGGGTCTCACGGACACATCCAGAATGTCATCCCAGTAGGGCACACCCGTCATCGTACCCAGACGTAGGACATGGAAATAGGTTCTTCCAGCTCTACCCCAAATCATAATTGAGCCCCCTCCATAACGGCCACGTTTGGCTTTTTGTAATCCTGCAATCTTTGTCCACCCCACACTCGGACACGGCGATCTGTGAAGTCAAAACAGTATCTCGATTCATCAGTGAAAAGTACTGGAGCCCAAACCCAACTTGGTCTGTCCAACTTACATGATCTTCAGCCTGTGATGTCGGGTCAGCTGGATGCGAACGAATGCGGTGACGAATACTGTCTGAGAAGAACTGTTAACGCCACTGGCGGTCCGCAGGTCATTTCTGAGTGAGGTGACAGACAGGAGAAATTTGTGTTCCTGCTGCGTGGTGGAACGCCGTCGACCTCCTTCATTCATTCACCCTGGTATTCATTCCATGCCCTGCTGATCACACTTTGACTACCACCAAAGACCCTGTTTCAAGCATGCCTATGCATCTGCCTCATTCTTCAGTCGTCAAACGACGTCTTTGACGCTGAGAGGGCATAAGTGCTTTCAGGTGTTGCAATCCTCAGTAGCAGTTGTTGTGCTCCCTGTTAATTATGTCAAACGATTCTTTAAAGATACACCCTAACCTGTGTTTACAAGCACCTCGTGCATACGTGCGCATGACTACACGCCTCTGTCCGTTCATCATGAAATTGAGATCCTGTAAGGGTTACCCAATCATTGTGTGTCGGGAAATTTCAATCTTTTTTTGTTGGTTGATATTTTTAGAAAACTTTGAGTAGTATATATTTATTTTTTTAAACCGGTGGTACTTTCGAGGGGGTCACCATCACTAACGGGATCGGGTGGTCAGGCTCGATGACTTGGTTGATTCATGTCATCGATCCAAATTGTGTAGATCGATGCGCATGATGTCAATCACTGGATTGTCTGGTCCAGACTCGATTATTTACAGACCGCCGTCATATAGCTGGAATATTGCTAGGTGCGGCGTTAAACAACAAACAAACAAAAAAACAAATAATAATGACGAGGACAACGGAACGCATCAACACTAACTTCAAACAGTTGACATGAAAATAATCAGCGTCGTTTTGTGATGGCGATCAATTCGTCTGTATGTAAACCAAAAATGTGCCCTTATAAGATTACAAGATGATTTTAATAGACAAATCAATATAGCATTGCGTGTGTGTGTACCAAACTGACCTTATTCGACTGTACCTGGTTCTATTTTTGGAACCAAGATCCGCGGTGGTATCACATTCCTTTATGTTTAAACATTGTACATGTTAATAATATTATGGTATTTTAAACTCAACAAAAACACTAAGCACGTAACGAGCCAACTCTCTGACTTACTCTTGAACATGCACTCACAGTGCCATTTGACTGTGACGTCATTGTAACCAACGATGTCACAATGTTCCATACCTGTCAACTCTCACGCATCTCGCGTGAGTCTCACGCATGTATCACCTATGTCACGCTCACACGCAAGGTTGGGAAATTCTCACGCATTCATATAAAATGTAGATAAAAAAAATATTTTTTCAGAATACATGCTCTCTAAGGCCCTTAAAATGGTCTTAAAATCATTCAAAACCAGTTTTCTTCGGGGGGCGGGGGGCTTCCAGGGGTTGACAGCTATGATGTTTCATAAAGCACTGTGCTACAATTTAGTAGTGAAATCTCCTGGGAAATATAGCTTGATATCTCATCCAAGCGATATCTCACGTTGAAGCAATAATCTTGGGAGGAAAATATTATATCAGGATATGTTATCTTTAGTAACCAAAACAATTATCAATATTTATGTTACAAATGGTCATGGCTCTGTTTTAGTGAACTTGATAATGTTATCGTCCCTAAGTAAGATATGAATTTCTTGTAGTCTGTTATTACGTACGAAATATTCGTTCTAAACTATGCACCTTGCTCGGTTCTTGAAATTTCCTACAGGTGCTCGAAGCGCTCGTATATGCACGTCAGCTTGACGGAAACGGAACTCTTTCACGCGAAAGACAATAAAGTAGACCAAATCAAAATGGCTGATACTACTTTAATCTTGGTCGGGATCGGTGTTTTGGTTCTTTGTTTGTTAATCACAGTCTTCTTACTGCTGGTGTATTCTGGTCTGTTCAGGACGGTGGAGGTTGGAGCCGGGCGCCCACCCATCGCTGATGTCGTCGTTGCTTACAAGTTCCTGAGGGGACCGTACAAAGAGTCGGGCCCCCAATTCACGGAGCTCGCGAAACTGGCTCCTGACAATAAATGCCTGGGGATCTTTTATGACGACCCCAGCACAGTAAGAATCTACATCTTATTTGTTTCATTACCATTGCTGCTTCTGTGCGTTTGTGAATTTTAAGGGCGTTTAAGACAGCATAATGTAGATTTATAATACTGCGCAGTAGGTGTTGAATTGAGCTGATCAATAATGCATTATGTCTACGAGTACGATGTTTACATCTGTTGCGTCAGTGAATTATTGATGGTGAATGTCGGAAATAACTTGGCATATTACATTTTTTAGATTCTGTTTGTCGTGTATACCCCAAAGGCATCTAAACATGCTAAATACACTGCCCGTTCTTGAAATAAGCTTTGTGTTTATCCACGCATGTACAAACACCTGTGCCATCTCTAAATGCACATACAAAGCGGTAATTGATTAATCATCACAGTTATTTCACACCGACATCTACATAGCATGGCTCTATGAACAAGAATGGTACTACTGATACCAGAGTGTAAACTGTTTTGAAGTTGATGATCTGTGTGTCATGGCTGTCGCATGCTATTTAAAATATTTTGTGTGGTCTATCATGCTTATTCTTTGATTTAACAACCTACCTGTATTATGCCACTTTCACGTTTTGGGCATGTCTGTTTAATATTAGTTCGTAATATTATAGTGACTCTCAAGTGCTGAACTGTGAACTGGTACCTTTTGCTATTCATTATGTTTTAAATTTTTATATTTTGTGTTTCCATGGCAAAAAATTAACCTCGTTCAAGTGTAAGTCATTTGGGTCACGGACGGACATGACCACTTGCCTGTTGGCCCAAGACGTGTGAAAATTTCAAGGGATGTGTTGTTTTCATCCCAAATCTAGTTATCTGTCATAGACCACTGGTCCAAATTGCAGCAGTTTAGTTGAATGGTTTCTACTCATGTAGGTTGGGTCTCCTTCTATCATCAGATCAGCAATGATCATGAGATTAACATCAAACTTGGTATGTACACCAGGCAACTGCATATTCTCAACTGGTGCCTTTTCATATTCACTGATTTCATATTTTCAGTTTTTGCTCTTCCTTTGTAGAAATTTCAACTGAAGACAGGATTTAATTGTCTAGCTTATCTGGTGGCAAACTTATATACCTTTGAGTTTCAGTATTTTTCAAAGAAATGTAATATGAAATAATTCTACCTCCACATTGTGAGAACTGTTCTTAAATTTAAGAGTGAGTAGGTTTTGTTTCAAGTGTATGGCTAACAAATCTTTCACATGTAATTTTGCATTCGAGCAAGTGAAATGACTTAAGACAGTGTAGTTCAAAATATAGGGACTTTTCTATGTGTGTTTCAAACATTTTCCAAACTCATCATAATACTGATGCCTATGTGTAGCAGCCGTAAAATTTCTGAATGCCGTTTTGGGATTCGATCATGGACCTTCAGATCCGACGTCGGACGCCTTGTCCACATGCCCAAAGAGGTTAACCCTGTCAGCAAGCTTATAGGGTAAGGGGGCGGTCGGGTAGCCTAGTGGCTAAACCATTCGCTCGTCACCGGGTTCGATTTAAGACATGTACAATGTGTGAAGCTCATTTCTGGTGTCCCCCACCGTGATATTGCTGGAATATTGCTAAAAGCGGCGTAAAGCCATACTCACTCACAGAGTCACTCACTACAAGGTAAGGATGTCATTTGTTGGATGACTCCACGCCCCGCTACAAAGGTGCGGCCGTATTCTTTATCTAATTGTTGTGACGGTTTCATATGAGCTACATTGTTGACAGCAGCTGCTCTGTGTCAAATGGTTATTATGTTATTGTTAACTGCTCCAGGGGACACGTGTGGAGAGAATATGTTCTGACTCGGTTACGACTGCCGTCGGCTGTCACGGTAAAAGACTAATGAGTACACGGAACATGAACTGTCATCATTATTGCAGAATCATGATGTTATGATTTTACATGTCAAATGGCAATATAAAATATTGAATTCTGATGACCCAACAAAAGCAATAATATTATATTGACATGAATGACCCCAGACATGTTATTGTTGCTGCAGCCTGTGACGTTAGACTCAAGTCCAAAGTCCAAGTCTAGTAAAATTCTGTGGTCTCAGAAGCTCAGATTATAATTAGGGGTGAAACGATACATCAGTGCACCGGACTTCTCAAGTTTTCATGTGACGATACGATACATGATACAAATTTTTTTCTTTATTGATACAAGATGATACAATTTCTAAATATATTACCTACAAGTACTACTCATTTTATAATGCCCACCCAAGCACTTTTGTAAGTCAAATATTCCAAAATGTTTTCAAATTCACTACTAAAAATAACCACTACAAACATGTGTCTATCTTCTCCTTTTAAACCTGCTCTGGAATATTTATAGTCAAGAATTTTCTAATGGTTGATGAAAATATGGGTATCGCGATACGTATCAAATCGTAACCTAGGTATCATATGTATCGTATCTTGGCCTTGCTGTATCGTTTCACCCCTACTAATGATAGTCCATCTGATAACACTAAAATGTACTAAAAATGGTGCTAGGACAAGGCCAAGTTAGGATAAGAAGTTTTTGGCATAGTCTGTTACTGAAATTGATAATAATTAGAACCAATATCCAGTGTCGTTATGACTTGTTAAGGAGGGTTCTGGCGTGTTTAAGGTTTGTTCCAATCTCATTAAAATCAGACCTTAGTTCTCGCTACCGCTATACAAAGATCTGAGGACATCCCAGTAGGGGTCACGTCAGAACGACCTTTCATCCGACCAATCAGAGCGTCGCTTACCAGATCATGAAAGTGACAGTCGGAATGTGATTTCTAATCATGCATCCTCGAAAACTTTAACACTGGGTGTTCCGAACAATAGTTACGGGTTTAACGACTGAATCCATATAATCAAGATCATCTATTAGCGATTCCAGAATGTTCTTTTGTTTAGGTTAAAAATTTTAATCGATAATTTGTCAAAATTTGTTTCGAAGAGTTGTTGCCAATTTGAAAATAGTGCCACAAAGCGAGAGAAAGCTGCTTTCCGAATGGTCATTCCATTGGTCGGTCAAAGTTCGCGCAAGGTCGGTCTGACGTGACCCGTAATGGGATGTCCTCAGATCTTTGTTTAGCGGTAGCGAGAACTAAGATCTGATTTTAATGAGATTGGGTTTGTTCCCATGCTATTTAAATCTGGGACTCGTAAATTATAAACTGTTAACATTAGGGTTAGGACAAGTTGACTGTCAAGGAACCCTAGTAGTGAGTTTGAATCCAAAATTCACCTTGATTATGTTTCTGGGTTTGTCTGCACCATACCCATGCTCATGAGTTTCACCAAAGTAGGAAACATCTAAGGTTTCCATCACAGTTGAAACTCACTCATTGTGCTCATTAAACGTTTAAAGAAAACAAGAGTTCACTGCTTCGAAAAACATCATAAGATTATGGAGAAGATAAGGACAGGACCCTTTGCCTTTGACATTGTTTGAGTGAATATTTGAAAATAATAACATGTCTCTTTGAGACACATGAAGAATTGGGTTAGAGTTGGTCTTCAGCAACTGATGCTTGTCGTAAGAGGGGACTTACGGGATCGGGTGGTCAAGCTCGCTGACTTGGTTAATTGAAGTGAGGGCTTGAGTTAGCTATATATAACATTCACCAATGTAACCTTACATTGAAAACTGCAACCTAATAGTTATGTTTACATGCACAAAGTGCATGTCAAACAGACCCGTGAAGATTCCGGGGTAGAATACGTCTTTTGCAACCCATACTTGCTGTAAAAGGTGACTCTGCTTGTCGTAAAAGGCGACTAATGGGATCGGGTGGTCAGGCTCACTGACTTGGTTGATGTATGGCATCGATCCCAATTGCGTGGATCTATGCACATGATATTAATCACTGGATTGTCTGGTCCAGACTGGATTGTTTACAGACTGCCATCATATAGCTGGAATATTACTGAGTGTGGCGTTAAACAACAAACCAACCACCAAAGTATGTCAAACATATAAAAATTTGCAACACAACATGGATCTTTGAACACACACAATACCTCTAAGCATTATTTACCATACTACATCACTAATCCCTGTGTTATGTGTAATTTGTCATGCTTTCTGCGGTTTGAAGTCATCAATATTATGTACTGTACATCTGTAACTGAAGTTGACCACTGAATCACGTGATATATTTAGATTATATTACTATGATAATAATTATGCATTATGTGACAATTGCCATTGCCACATAAGTATTGTAACAGTAAGTACTAACTGTATTATAAATCATGACACAGTCTCCAGATATCTGAGATTTTGTTTATTAAGACGAGTTCATGCATCAATGTTTCAACTTTGATATATTTATGGGACCAGGGTGAAGCCTGGTTTTGTCAGTTGCAACTAGGTTTTAATGTCAACATGCACATGCTAACCATGGTAACAGTTAAATCAAGTTCCTTATATTGAGCCCTGCGTGTCATCATATCCCAGTTGCGTAGATCGATGGATTATATTGTCGAGATGGCCACAACATTTGACCTTGATAATCTCACACGTAGCCTGAGCAGATTAGCATAATATTGGCCATTAATGGTCTGGAGTGGTCATTTATCACTGAATTGTTTTGTTGAGTCTTGATTATTTACGAACAGCCGTCATATATCAGCATTAGAAATTGGTACTAGTCCTTTTGTCCTTGTCAAACTGCCCAATAGTTAAGCCATCATAAGAACTAGTAGTAGTAGAAATTTGCTATATATCACTGAATATTACAAATAACAGCTGCTGACTTGTTATTGTATTTGTGAATTGCTATTCGTATTCGTTACCCTTTATTCTTGAAACGAACCATTAAGCCTCATACTGTATTCGTTGCAGTCCTAGTATACATGGTATATATGATACTGGTGAGTGCAGAATTAACATAGAAACAAACAAATAATTTCTTTGAGAAATACACAATGTATGAAAATGGTGTGTTGCAGGTGCCGTCCACAAAACTTCGCTATGTCGTAGCCTCCATACTGGCCGAGGGGGGAGCTCCCATTGACGAGGAGATGAGAAAGAGGTTTGCTGATGAAGGCTACAAGATTCACAACCTGCCATTTGTTACCAACGTTGTGAAGACAAGCTTCCCTTACATCAGCCTTCTGTCCATCTTCATCGCCATGTCGAAGGTGTACCCAAGGATAGCCGAGTATGTGCAGGTAAACACAGACAAGTATTTTTCATGTTTTATACTCACATCATTATTACGAAGTGTAAGGGTGGTATAGGAATGGGTGCTGTCCGTCGGTCATGTTTTGTTTCCGAAGCAGAACTAAAATATCATGAGAGATATCTTAAACAAACTTAGCACATAGATAGGTCTAGTGATGAACTGGTGCATTTTGATAGTTTGGGATTTTTGAAAAAATTATTTTTTGAGTTTCCATAGCAACCACTTTGACTTAATAATGGCAGTAGTGCTCCTTTCCAGAGAAGATCTTGAAAACTGTAAAATATTTCTTCACAAAACTTGGCACGTACATAGGTCTAGTTGTAAACTATGGTTTCCATAGCAACAACTTTTGAAATCTTTTGAAAACTGTACAATATTTCTTGCCTTGCACACAACCAGACATGTCATTTTGGCAGGGGATATGAGTATTTCATGCTTGTTAAAACCTGAAAAAGTCCTGGAATTTTAGCTTCAAATTCCCAGGCCTGGAATAGTTTTGAAAAGTAGAATTTTTTTATCAAGTCATAGGTAATTCAGTGTTAGAAATTGGCACTAGCTCGGGAGTCCTTGCCAAACTGCTCAATAGTTAAGGTATCATTGTATGTGTCCATAATAATGATAATGGACCAGTGAGGATCCGGGTAGAATAGGTCGTTTGCAACTCATGCTTGTCTTTAGAGGCGACTACAAGGACTATGGTTGTCGCACGAGGCGACTAACGGGATCGGGTGGCTAGGCTCCTGACTTGGTTGGTGCATGTCATCGTATCCCAATTGAGTGGATTGATGCTCATGATGTCAATCACTGGATTGTCTGGTTCAGACTCTGTTCATCATATAGTTAAGTGCGGCGTTAAATAACAAACAAAAAGAGAAAACTACTATATAAACATTGATAAATGTTTATTAAAAATGTTCAACTATATTCATAATTCATCAGGGACTCCTTACAAGACACAAACCTCATCCCTTTGGACTACTCATGCTAATTATTGCTTTGAACTGTTGAAGTTTATCGATGTAATTCATTCTTTTACTTCAGAAACAGACTCTGAATATTACGATCCAAAAACCATTTGAATATTTCAGGAACACAAACTGTGTGCCCACCCGTGCTTGGAGATTTATGATGGGAAAAACATCCACTTCATGGCCCCCTTGGCCAAACAAGACGAGTTTTACGTCCCTGAATACAACCAACACGACCCAGAGGAAGATCCCTCGGAACTAGATGACCCAAGTCTAGCCGACAGCCTCCCAGACGACAGCATCTCCTACAGCGAACCTTCCTTCAGCGAAATTAGCCAGAGCCTGTCCACAGATCTCACAGTCAGCACTGAAGATAAGGAAGGGGAGGTAATCAAAATGGCCGCCGTTCAAGCTGGTGCAGGAGAAGCAAAAAATTTAGCCGACTCTGGGTTTTCTTCTGATGCAGTTCCCTCCCCTCTTTCTGGCTCTCTGCAGGTGGAGGATCGTGCAGACACGGGGTCAGAGGGCAGCTCAGGGTCACCGTTTGAAGATATTAAAGGTGAAACTGATGAACTAATTAAAGAAATGAATGATCAAGCGGAGAGTAAAGAATAGTGGCTGATTTTGTTGCCGAAACAGAACAAACAAAACATGACTGGTAACGTTTTATTGTTAAGGTGTATGTCTTCTACTTGTATGGGTGCATCCTGTGATAGATGTGTGCTCTGTCAACATTTGTAATACTATATCCAATGGTGCATAACAATTAGCTTGCTGTTGAAAATGTATGGTGCATTGATTGAACATATCGTGATAGAATAGGCTATTGATGACCTGGCGTTGGTAGTGTAGTTTATGGTCCGTGTCTGTAGAAATATTTTTCTATTGTGAAGATTGTTTATTTATCACTTCAGATATTGAAATGTTTTCAACTATTATTCATACTGGTAAATATGGAATAGAATTCTAATTACCGTATCTGACGTAATAAGCGCACCGCTCTAATAAGCGCCCAAAGCGATGTTTGCTAATATATTGGCTAGTGAACAATCCCAATTAGCACCCTTCCGATTGATCAATGTACGCTTATTTATTCGTGTATAATATGTACTCGTGTGTTATATGCAGCCTTAATTATTGGCAGTTAAATTCTGGAAAAATATATCTGTCGTGTATAATACGCACATACATTTCTTTTGTATCATTTCAGGCTGTAAGCATAAACCATGAAATTTACGATCTTTCAACTCCAAAATTATATTCTAATAAGAGCCCCCTATTTCTAATTTTGAGAGCACCCTGGGTGCTTATAACGTCGAATACGGTATTAAAGGGTTCATTCATGAGTACTGGTCCCCAGGCACCTGTTCTGGTTGTACGAGGCGACTTCATGGATCAGGTGGTCAGACTGGGTGACTTGGTTGATGGTGTGTCATTGTATCCCAACGGCGTAGATCGTTCCTGGTTCACAATGTCAATCACTGGACTGTCTGGTCCAGACTCAATTATTTACAGGCTGTCGTCATACACATATAGCTGGAATATTGCTGAGTGCGGCAATAAACAACAAAAACAGACACCGTTCTGTTAATCATACCCAAGTTTGATCTGTGACAAGAGAATCTGTTTCTTTGATTCCAAAATGTGCGCAATAGTACAAGCTCTACAATCAGGCTGACTCCCAGTCGGCCTGCTTCTGCCTCGGGTTTTGAAATGCACATCTTTTCTCTGTCTGCTCATCCATTTGATTACCGTGTCCACAACTTCCGTCACCTTAGTAACAACACTGAAGATGCCTTCAGTTGTTTACTCCGGGGATTAATCCCTGACCGGCGTTTATTGTGAGCAATAGGGCTGTGGGCAGCTGGTGTATTATAGCCCCCAACAGATTCCCGGGTAGAATAGGTCTTCAGCAACCCATGCTTGCCGTAAAAGGCTTTAGGCCACGCCCCCAAATAGGTTGGTTTTGGAAGGCCGATTACAGAGCATGTTTTTGTAGCACTTTCACTTGGACATTTAAATACATTCTACGAATGTTATTAATTTTTCGAATTTTTTTCGAAAATTGATTGTATCAAGGAAAATTAATATTTGCAAAAGAATCGCAAACATTTTTTTCACTTTACGAGCCCTTTAAAATTAAGCGTCAGGATGCAATCATACCATTGGAAGGGGTGAAGCCAGACTACTTCACTCTCTGTTTAGGATGTCGTAGATCAAGGGACCAAATTGTGTGTCACATCTTTAGACACAAACATATTAAATACCATGCATGCGTAATGTGGTAGTGCATTGATCAGTTTGAAACAAAAATGTATTAATAATGAAATCTTTTTAAAATATTCCCTTGAAGGGAAATGTTTTTAATTATACAACCAACTGCTGGCTAGTCAAGTACAATTTATTTGTGTTTCAAAGGATTTATTTTGTGTTTCAAAGGATTTGTTTTTCTGTAATGAAGATGCATTCATCTCTGTAACCATGGCAACAATAGATGTATTAACTCCCCTTCCTTGTTAAGCTAACATGACTTATTGTGTGCAATATTTACGAATATTTAAGGTAATAAAAAAAGGTATCATACTGATTGATTAATTTATCATTTTCTAAGAAATATATCATATTAGAAGTGAATGAAAACAGATAAAATTGATGAACCATGTTGTACCAGTTTGTGATAGATTTTCTAAGCGACCTTGCCACAACATCCGAACACAATGACAGGTTACGTGATGGTCAGTTACCAAGTTGAATAATTAATGTATAATCTGTAACAAAACATGCCAGTTTATGTAATTTTGAAATTGCCAACTTAAGAAAACACAGGTGTTGATCCAGGATAAGTGCAGGGGTTGGTAGCCTTTCTCACAGTCCCTCAACCATATTACCGTATCTCCCTTTTTGCCCAGCTCTTACTGTAATACTTAAGCCCTAAATAAAGTCTAGATTTTCCTCAGATTCAGGTGCTTAATCTCCTATCTCTCTGGGGCTCCTTTTCAGTTTAAATGGAGTTGCTTGTTTCTATCAAAATTATGTATTTTCAGAAACTAAGCTTTAGTCTAACATGTCGAGGGGGTGGGCACCCTCATTATTGAATCATATTTGACATTTATATATTGTAAGTTTTAAACATGATTTAGGTGATAGGTTTGTAGGTAAACATATTACGACACTATAACACATTTTTTTGGATGTTTCAATGAAAATATCAAAAGTACCAAACACAATTTTATTCAAAGATTTTTAGCATTCATATAGTACTATTATGTTGGTACTTGTGATCACAGAATATATCCTACATTTTCCAGATAGCTGCATCCAGGCTTGTGATAACGGTTTATTTGTGTGTTTTTTTCCCGAAAGAGGACGTCATTGCTTTGATGTAGAAGGGCTGAAAAGTATTTTCAATCAAACGCAGCATTAATAGGGGCAATCTAATCTATGTTATTCATTAAACAAGAACTAAATATTGCTTGGCGTAATCATGTCTGTCAGATTTGTAAGCTACTCTTTTCCTTCAGGCCTTATAATTTTTTTAATGGGTTTTTAAGACAATTGTAAATTTAGAGAAAAATAATGTTATTTATTTTTGTCACCACTGTCATAAAGGAATTGTGAACATGGTGAATAATATCATACAGATCTTTATTCTTACAAAAAAAAATATCAGTTATCTTTTGATATCAGCCATGTTTGTTTTTCAACCATCAGTTGCAGTACTCACCAGGAAGTAGAATTGTTTTATTCATTTTTTCCAACCACATACATTAAATTTTCGGTAAATGATAAATATAAAAAATGAAAGGACTTACCAATGTATATACTAACCATACTTATGTTTACAGCATTTAAAATGTTTATGATTATGCACTGTAAATGTTTAGATGATATTGTCAGCATTTACCTCATTAAACAGACTTTGATAATTTGATAATTTCTTTCACTTTAATGTTTTAAAAAACAAAGAAATAATTTATGTCATTTGTATTTAAGGCTTACGGCTGCTCTTGTGAATAGTAGTTAGATATGTCTTGCTGGGTTTTACATACATGTATTCCTCGTTGAGTCAGAATTTAGCGCTACATCTCGCTACAAAAATACATGTTTGCTGTTCACAGAAACCACAAGCAAGAACTTCTTGCATTAAATCATTTTTTATTTCCGGGTACAAGGCAAACACATTTTCACAACACAAGAAAAATGCCTCCACCTCCTTATTGCATTGGGGATATTACATGAAATTCTGTTTCCTTCTTATTGCATTGGGGATATTACATGAAATTCTGTTTCCTTCTTATTGCATTGGGGATATTACATGAAATTCTGTTTCCTTCTTATTGCATTGGGGGTGTTTACACAGGTTGTGCTTGATTACCAAGGTAGTGCTTGATATTACCCAATTACCCAGGTAGTGCTTTATTACCCAATTACCCAGGTAGTGCTTGATTACCAAGGTTGTGCTTGATTACCCAGGTAGTGCTTGAATAAACATTAAATTCACAATGTACTGGATCTTTGTAAGTCATCATTTTCCTATGATAGAGATTTTTCCTAAGTCTAGATTCTCTGATTGGAAACTGGTTATTAAAGTTAATTACCATACTTCATTTTCACCACTAGTTTGCCTTTTTATGAAAATAACAATTAATTTAGAATAATGTTTGTATATATATCAAGTGGTGGATATATCTTCTTCTCTATCTTTTGACCAGCCCTTCTCAGGTATAACTCGACATAATCACTTGCAGTCTTTGCATTTACCAGAAAATATACTGTTTGTGTTTACATTGAATTGTCTTAAGCTTATCTGCTTATTTTCCAAATGTTGACTTTTCTCTTGTTTAATTTTACACATTTTATCACAATTATGTGTCAAGATTTCAGATGACATTTTGTTTTGTAGTTTACTCAGGTAAAAGTGAGGTTAACAATATCATTTTGAAAATGAAAAGTTATGATTTTATGTATTTGTTTTTGGTTGTAAATGGCATGTAACCATGGTAACGCTAAGAGCTAATGTTTTTTTATAATCTTGGTTGGAATAGGCAATGGCACATTTTAGGTTGTCTTGGTTACAAATGATATAGTTCGCCTGGATATATTATCCTCATTATCATGATTACGGTATGTATCAAGTTTTTGACTCAAAAGTAAACGATTTGAACATTTCATTATTTCATCATCTTTTGACAAGTTGGAGTTGCTGTGATTTTTCTTATCCAATTTCCATGACTGGGTTGTAGTTGTTCTTTACAGATTGACATAGGTGGTGGGATAGTGGTTAAAGTGTTTGCTTGTCATCCAAAGAACTGGGTTCAGTTCCGAATGAGTACAGTGCATCTTGGTGTTCCTAGCTAGAAATGGTATGAGACAATTCTCACTCACTGATCATCATACAGGTGTTACACAAGTGTAGTACGGCAGGGGTTTATCAATGATTCCAAACTAATTGACAAGTGACAAGTTTATTTGCAATTGAGGCCACATGGTCCAAACTAAGTGTCCTTGGAAGGCAAATTGAGACATAAATATTATTTTGTCCAAATTATTTTTAATTATGATTCAAAGTTCTTATATTTATTGGTATTTTGACATTGCATTCAATGACTAAAACTAAGCACTAACACCACTTCCTCTTTGTTGGCTCTTTTATCCGTGAAGTACAAATCACCTCAACAAACCCATGACGTTAGTTATAACTATGAGAACTAGAACTGTGAAATGTTCAATTCAAATGTGGGGAATTGTACTGACATTTGCTGCAGGCTGAAGCTGGTACATTTATATTGTTGATGGACATCCCGTCTAATGTTTTGTTCTGGGTTTACAGCCTTTGAATACAGATTCTCTCAGAGAATAGTATTCATTAGACTTCCAAGCAAATCTGGTGGGAATGAAATTAAGCATTGTAAGGGTTTTAGGAATGTTTAGTTACCTTGGTTTACATTGATATGTATGTTTTCAAACTGGAAAGGCAGGTAAAGTAAAGAAAATTATAGTGAGACAACACCATTTAGCATGTTTAACATGGTTTGGGACTGCAGTCACAGGCGGATCCAGAGGAGGGGTCCAGGGGGTCCACTGAGGACTCAGGTTCGATTCCCACATGGGTACAATGTGTGAAGCCCAGTTCTGGTGTCCCCTGCCATGATATTGATGGAATATTTCTAAAAGCGGTGTAAAACCCTACTCACTCACTTAACTGGTCAGCATAACTGCCCCTTGCCTCTATGGTTGTGCTGACATGAAGCATCTCATATACTTACTCTTTGTTGAATAATATACACTAGTACATTCCATTGCTCTGATGTCTTACCCCTGGATATGTTGTTCAATATGCCCTCAACCAGAACATCATCTGACTTGGTGTGTGTTGAAGGATCAAGTATTTATATTACACTACTAGCTGTATGTCCTGTATATTAAGAAGTTTTATCTGTTGTAAGTTTTATTACCTATCTAAAAAACACAATGTTTTTGTTTACAATGTTTAAAGTAATCCTCTGTTGTCAAGGGTAATAAATCTTTCAGGGTAAATAATCTGGACCACCACCATACCTTGAGTGCTTAAGATCCCAGTGCTAAAAATAGATTTCCAATCAAACTGCACTGTTCTTTCAGGATTGAAACAAGAGGTGATATCACCAATTCTTGATTTGACTTTTGCTTGCCATCACATCTGGAACGACTTGTAGTATGACGATTTTTCTTCCCTATCTGAGTACTGAAACATCTTATCTAAAAATTCTTTTATTAGTCTCGCATTCAGTGTTCAGAAGAGGCATTTTGATGACTTAGTACTCAGGAAGACATCTTGTCTGGCTTAAATATGATTTATAACAGTCTTGTTATTCGTTAAAATACATATTTAGAATTGCAGTTGTGAATTTAGATCTATGCCGAATGTATGTTCAGAAGAGCCAATTCGATTGGTTGTTGATTTCAAGGTTAAAAACGAGAGAAATTCTGTGCCAAGTTAGTGATAGACAGATGGATCTGGTGACATCCTTCCGAAATGAAATGTGGTAATCTGAATGATTCCCCGAGAACATGCTGAAGCAGCTCCCTGTAGATTACAAGAGTTGTGATGCATTGTTTAATACAGAACCCATGTTGAGCTGGAACCCTTATCAGGGATGTGCTGAAATGCACCAATGATGTTCAAATTTTACAAATGTAATACTACTTATTTCAAGACAACTCAAGCCGTTTCTATTTGTCCACTCGGCAGAATTTCCCGTTTCATTGTTTTGTATATTACATTTTTGTTCACTGTTATTCCTGTACATAGTTTCTTGTGTCAAGTTCTCTTGGAAAGATGTTTGCTTCCTATGTACACATAAGTCAGTGGTGTTGCATAGATCTTATTGCAGTAGCCACAAGCACATTGTATATACTTGTCCTGAAATATTCTGTTGATATTATATTTAAAAAAATACGCTGATGGTTTCAAATATGTCTTTACCATATTTGGCCCTATTTGGTGTGTTGCATTTTTTTTTAATCGGGGGCAAAATCATATGAACGCAACATTTAGTATTTTCATTTGTACAACAAAATATTTATACATGAATATTCTATGTTGTTAGTCAAACAGTATATTATTGCTCGGGATGAGCTATGTTTTGCCTTTCAATGGTAAAGTCACTTATAATGGATACATAGTTTTAGTTTTATCTTAAATCGTTGAACCTAATTTGTATTTGCCAATAACAGATGAATGGTGGATATTGAGGAAATATTGTGTAAAACTCGCTCTCTGAGATAATTGTTATTTCATTGTGAAAAGACAATTGTTGTGAATGTGATTGTCAGAATAGCCATGATTTCAGAATGCCAGCCAGTTAAAAAAAATAACATCGATAAATTGGAAACAAAACAGTGTTCAGATAATTTTTCTAAAAACTTTTTTTTTCTTATTAAAACCGAAATCTGAATTATTTTCAAGTAAAAAGTATTAACAATAATCTTCAAGTTTGGACATATCCACCACCCAAAGCACAGTTCAAGTCATCATGATTATCATACATGTAATCACTTGTGGGGGCACGGGTGGCCCAGACGTCTAAGGCGCAGCGATTCGCTGTGCAGAGTTGCATCCCTTGGGCACGCCAGAAACCTATGAATGTGGGTTCGAATTCCGGTTCGCCCCAATTATGTTTCTAGGTATGCCAGCACCGTACCCGTGCTCGTGGGATTCTCAGACCTGTATCACTTTGGGCTTTCCTCCCACATTAAGCTGACACACGCAATATAACTGGAATACTGTTAAAAGCAGCATTAAACCCAACTCATTCACTCACTGTAATCACTTGTATATTGTAGTTTGATAAGGTTAAGCCTGATTCTGTGAGAACCATGTGCAACTATCATGTAAAGTGCAGGCTGGTGTGCAGTATTTAATGTAACGTCAATGACCTTCAGGTTGTGCAACTCTGGTCTTTGGTGAGTGTGCCAAGAAAGTACAGAAGAAACAAATCAGTAAATCGCTGGTGGTTGATCGTGTTAGTGTTGCAGTGTTAAGGTGGTGGAGTCATTGCTGGTTGTGGGGTACATTGGGATTATTTTATTAGTTGACATAATTCCCATGTTTAGATCCTGCAGAAGGTTGCCTGTCCCAGGGGTCCCAGGCACAGTCAGATTTCCCAGGGCAGAATAATAGATCCTCAGAAAAAACCGATTGGTTGGTCACAATGTGTGATGTTACTGATTGTGTCACAACTGCATAGGTCCCCAATACTCCATGCTTGGGATAAGAGTCACATGTGGACATGACCTGTCTCTACTGCTCCACACAAGGTCAAGTCAAAATAAAATTGTTTATAGGGAGCACCACAGAGATAGGGAGCACCACACTGCAGCTAAGATATCCCTGGATTGATAGGTTGCAGTATCTGTGGGATCTTGCTCATGCTATTGTCCACTGGTTTAACGTACTAGCACCATTTTTTATTGACATGCTATGGCAGTTAAACACACCTAGGATCCCTGGGAAAGATGACTGATGGCAATATTTCCTTTACACATATATAGATAGACCCATCCCAACAATACACAAGACCCTACCCAACCAGATTTTGCCTGATTTTTTAGTAGGACCTTGGGACTATACCAACATTTTTTTTTGTGTTGATTATACAGATAATACCACCAATGAGTTCAACTGTTACAATTTTATTCTAGTCCAAAAAAGCAACCAATTAACCAAGTTATTTTTCCGTCTTGGCCAGTTCCACAATCGCAGGCTAAGATGGTAAGTACTTCAACATACGATTCTGTAGCGCTAAGAACGCTTTGTGGAACAGGACCCTGGAATCTTATTTGAGTACCTTGCATTGCTTTAATGAAATGAAGTATTCAGTGTAAATGTTTTGTAAATAAATGCTAACTTTATTAACAACAGTCATTTATGGTCATAATCGAACATGCGAACAAAGTAATTGTTGTCGCCACAATGTATTTCAAAAATAAAAACCTCTTAAATATAATTCATCATTGTTTATTGTTATTGAAATGTTCAGCAAGTGTAGCCAAGGTGAAGATGGCAAGAAATACCTCTTCGGAGTAGTCTTTAGGACAGTATGTTCTGTCATGTGCACGTGATGTCCGTGAAGCTTGCTGATTTACTGGGCTCCTGTCTACCTAAACAAGTTAAAGCCAAAAGCGTTCAGCGCGTGAAGCAAAATTGGAACCAGTTTAGCTAGCAGACGACAAGTTCAATTTGGAAGGAAGATTTTCAAGTTCACATGACCTTTAATCGGTGTTGGAAATAGTTGGTTGTCCTTTCGGAAATCAGTCTGTCTGTGAGAACATGAGAAAACATCTAGCCAGTGATGTTTTGTCTCATTGTGGCTGTGGGTGGTGCAGAATCGGAAAGGTGAGTAATTTCATGTAAACATGACTTCGATGTTCTTGCCCTACGTCATGTACATGATCCATGTGGACTTAGTGTGGTAAATGTTCTTTTGCCTAAGTTAAAGACAAAACTGCAGTAGCTTGAACTACAATCTATTTAGAATAAATGTAAAAAATACTGCTGTGTGTCTTTGCGGCGGATGTTGTGGGAATTCCTATCAGTACTTACTAGAATGTCCACCACGGAGCAATGCAGACGGACATGTAACTTAGAGTACATAGTTTAATAGACTATTAATTGTCAAATAATTTGTTTGATATATTATTGAATGAAAACACTGAATTGACACACCGTATGAACTGTCAAATATTCAAAGATGTCTACCTGTAATCAAGGAAAGTAAACGAACTAAAAACGATGTCGATCACATGTTATAGCAGCTATCAGAAGGTAAATGAGCACCACCTGTTTATTGTATGCACGTAATTTTATTTACACTGAAAAGGAGTCGATCATTATGACCATCCCGTAAGATGCTAGATACAAGTAGCTTTATTTAACGTCGTCTATTACATACATGACAGACCAACAACAGTCACATGAAAAGATCGGGTGTTGTTTAACTTTTTGGAATAGTAAAGTGCAATGTGTTAAGCTATAAAGCTATTTTCCCAACGAAACGGTTTGAAAAATGTACAATGCTGAAATACAAACAAGTAAAAGAATGTACACACACAACATGAATTAGTGAAAAGATGACGAGGATGCTACCTGAGGATGAATAGAAGATAAACGCCTTAAATAAAAATATAATACAAGTAGTGAGTACTAGAATTGACGAGTTTACGGCCGAGGTATCGGCGCAGTCAGCAAATGGACCGTGCCAGTTCATGTACGGACGAGTTGAAGTCTTGCATAAGGGTGTAAGGGGATGTTTTTTTTATATTAATTACATTTTGAATGAAAACAGGTGATGTTTTATTAACAATTTTGAAGACATATCGTGCAACCCCCTTAAAACGCCGTATACGCATAGGAAGTATGTACCAGCGATTTTGTTCTTCTCGATACAAGTATCGATCAGTCACACACTGAGTAAAAAATATCGATTCTTACTTTAAAAAAATGTTTGCTTTAATAACTGTCACGTACCAAACAGTCCTTAGTGGTGAAAATTAGCAGTTAAATCAAAAATATTTAGCTTGGCAAAATTATTCGTATAATGCTTTTAATACGGTATTTCCAGTAGCCTCAACCCTCAGCAGTCGTTGGAGATACTTTGTCATCAGCCATCCATGAACAGTAAGTTGACAACACAAGTGTAAAGTATATTTAGAGCTTTATATACGTGTATTACATGTAATATGAAAAAAAACGCTCATCACAGGTTGGCTTGTATTCAAGGTGTGAAGGAACACATATATAATATATTGTGATAAACGAGGGTTATAAATGGTGACTTTGCAACACCACTGATTCTACGTTTTTTGCATATTTCGAATTTCAAGGTGGGTTTTTTTAATTCTTGTCAATCACAGACCATTAGAGTGATGTTCTAGTTTATCTACCAAAACTGGATTCCAAATATAAAAGGAGATATCGCTTGGGTGATATATCCTAGGAAATATTGCTACAATGAAATGACTTTACAATGCTTGCAAACCAATGTGACGTCATCGGTTACCATGACGTTACAATCAATTGACATCACTAATCCATCTGCTACCGAAGCTGGCAAGCTGTATTTGTTATACTCAACACACTGGTAATTACCGTTTACAAACTGAACAAGATGGAAGAATGATTCTGGATGATAGATAAAATGTCACCTTCGTATATTTACATAGCTTCAGAGTTTCAAACTTTTATCAACTTGTATTTTACATAAAAAGACACTCACGTGAGATTATATATTTGTTGTGTTACATGTGAAGCAAATGTCAATTCTCAAGCAACACGAATATATGTACAAGACGTCAAACCTTGTATAAAATATAGGGGAACGGATGGCACAGTCATACAACAGGGGCCGCAAGTTGATGTGCAGAATTTCGTCACTTTGGTGTGTCACAACCTTAAGATCATGGGTCCGACATCCCGGTTCGTCTTGATTATGTTTCTAGGTCTGTCTGTGCCATACCCATTCTCGTTGGTTTCACGGAAGTGGTAAACGTCTTACCAGCATCCTTGAGGCTTGATTATGGAAATGTGTTTTTGTCAGTTTATTCGCACACCAAGCTGACACACGGATGCACGCATATAGATGCATTTGCCGTAGCCATGGGAACGCATCTTCTTACCTCTAGACCCATAGTGAGGTGTATATTCACATGTTATGGGCAAGGTCTTCCTAAAGATAAGAAAACTTGGAATTGTCTGAAATACCACCCGTTCTTAAGCTTACTGCGAAAATCAAGAGCCCGTGTTTCTGAACCGAACCAGAAAATGAATGGAACTAACATTGATGTGTAGTGATGTAAGAGCATGTTTCAAGTCTTGCTAGCCGTGCTTGATTACATGAAACATTCACAGGGAAGCAATGCAATTGAAAAAGGATGACTTCCTAATTTAGTTGGTTGGTTGGTTGGTTTGTTGTTTAACGCCGCACTCAGCAATATGCCAGCTATATGATGGCGGCATAATTTAGTAGAATGGTATCGATATGTTTCTGACTGGGAGATGTTAAAGGATTGTCTTGTGGGGGCGTTTATGAAGAATGCGTGAAGGGGTTGAGTCAGTTTTACTGCCTTCAACATACTACATTTGGTTTTCAAGAGGCGGGGTGGTCCGGACACCCTGGAACCCCTCCCCCAACCCCCTCTAGAGTTGCCTATGCATTGAAAGCATCTCAGTCCCGTCACAACCCCTCAGCTTAAAATTAGGAAAGCCCAAAGAGACGCAGGCCAGAGACTACCGCTTTTATGATACAAGAATCGGATGCCAACTGACCGAGGATTATAATGAGGAGGGATCATGGATTCGAAACCTTGACCAGCGGATCCTGGCAGCTGGCGGACATAATGTATTATTACCTCTGAATGTTCCCGAGAGGACACCCCCGTATGTGATAGAATTCTTTCTATCTGGTAGAGCTTGATGGAAGCGTTGATTCCGGGAGCCCTGGGTAAGGAGGGGGCGGAGTGGACGGCTGAGGGGGTGGGTACTGTTCTGGGGCGTTGTACTGCGGAGGTGGTGGGTACTGTCCCGGGGTGTTGTACTGCGGAGGGGGTGGGTACTGTCCCGGGGTATTGTACTGCGGAGGGGGTGGGTACTGTCCCGGGGTGTTGTACTGCGGCGGGGGTGGATACTGTCCCGGGGTGTTGTACTGCGGAGGGGGTGGGAACTGTCCCAGGGTGTTGTACGCAGGCGCTGCTGGACCGTACGCCACTGGCGGAGGATGATAGCCATAGGACATGGGTTGGTTGACCACAGGGGCGACGGTTCCTCCCGGATGTCCTTGACCGTCTGGTGGATTGTTGTGGTAGTACTCGGCTGGAAGATACATAATACCATATAGTGGATAAATAAAATACCACACCCATCATCCTTTGTATGAGATAGTTCAGTTTGAAGTAAGTTCCAGCAAAGTAGGTCTGATCAAAACAAAACGGAAAGCACTTAAATGTCTCTAAATGATTATATTTGTTTTTGTCGTGTAAATGAATACTTTATAGACACACGTGACTGCGAAATCGCTCTCCAAAACGCCAAAATGTACCAGTAAATAACACGTCAATTCTGGAAACTGGACTTTTACGGTCAGTTAACTCCCTTGCCTCGGGAAGATAATTCTGGACATGGTGACGAACGCAAGTAGATATAGAAGGAAGACAAGACGAACTTAAAACGGATGGCGAATCCCTTTTCTAATGTCCCCCACCTAGATATTGATAGTAAAGTGTTTAAATTTGCTTAAAACTCGCCCACAGTTGAAACATTTGATCCAAGAATGCTGGAAAAAATAATGTGACCGCAAACTTGTTGGTAAAAAGACTTTTGCTCCCCATTTCAGACAGAACACGTTTTCTGAAAGACTGAACGAGAGCCTGCATGGTATTTGGCATACTGTTGGTACATCCCGCTTCCCCTTTACTCACGCTTCCATTATTTCCTGACCGCTTCCGTGATCTAGCGGGAGAGCGTCTGCCCAGAGACCGGAAGTTCGGGGGTCGATCCCCAGCCGCGTCATACCATAAAGACGTTAAAAGATAGTACTTGTTGTTATCCTGCCTGGCGCTCGGCATTAAAGGGATTAAACAAGGTCTGATCGGCTCGGGGTCAGTATACTATGTGTAGGTATTCATTTTAAACTACGTCATGGTTTCTTAGTGGGCTAGCTCTCAAAGTCAGCATTAGTCGGACCAGTACAATCAGCCATGCGCGCGCGTTAAACCCCAATTCACCACCATCCTCAAAATGGCTTGTTCCATTGGACACGCCAGAAACCTATGATTGTGGATTCGAATCCGGGTTCACCCCGATCATGTTTCTAGGTTTGTCAGCACCATACCCGTGCTCTGGGTTTCACCGAAGTGGTAAACGTCTGAGACCTGCATCACTTTGGGCTTTCCTCCCACAGTAAGCTGACACGCCATGATAGAACTGGAATACTGTTAAAAGCGGCGTTAAACCCAACTCACTCACTCACTCACTCACTTGCTCTAAATGGCAGTCAGAGAAGGCCTAATGATCCTTGCTGTAGCTCACCTGACATGACTATCATGAAGACGCCCCACACACAGCTCCACACCCAGCCGATGAGACAAGTCACTGTTGTCAGAAGTTGCAGGAATCCTATTCCAAGACCGATGCAACAGGATCCGCATCTGGAAGAGCCGTCCATGTCTTCGTTCCGTGCACAGCAGAACGACGAGGAACCAGCTACAACTGTCCCTACACGACAGAACAATAATAAACATGGAACTTATTCTTCCAAGTGACTAAAACAAAAGCGAAAAACCCTATTCCATTTTCTTAAGACACCTCTGCCAAACGCAGAGTCTATAGTACGATTCCGACTATTTCATGAACATGTGTTTGTGAATCATTATCATATCGTGCATGGTGGTACCAGGTATCCTCACCCACCGTTGCCACCCGTCACAAATACATGCAAAGACAAGTCAATGTTTTACCTGAAAAAACACGGGAACATATGGTGTGTACTTTTATTGCGCTAGCATGCGCAAAGCGTTAACATCATTACCATGCATGGTCATTGGATCAGTGTGCGTCGATTTGCATTCTCAACTTCCTAGGGAGTATACAACCCAAGCTGCCTTGTCAGGCGCAAGAAGGTCACATTTCCATCTCATCCCACCGGGTACCCCCTTTTCTGCTGGGTGAACAGAGGCACATTTCGAAGACGAAACTTACTTGAACCAAACCCTGTGGTTTTACCGTATATACCCAGTAAATCGATAGCGGTCCAAATAACCGTGAATACTTTTGCCATAACTTCATATTTTAGCCTTGTGTATTATGCTAAACATTAAAAGAAATCATTCACCAATAAGTAGCCACCTACCTAGGCCAGGTACGAGGAAGTTGAGGACACAGCAGACGACAGCGAGAGGCATCGGCATGGCCGGCACGGCCAACCTCTCATCCTTCCCGCGGGCTCTACCTCCTCCCATTGTGCCGCTCCTGGTCCAACACTGACAATCTGGCACAAACCACCCAAATAATCAGGCGTAGCTCCTTGTGAGGTTACAGAGTGATAGTATACTTAACCTCCTGTTGCACTGGATGAAAGTGATAATCTTCACACACTGTCTTCAAACGTGACCCGTCTCTCTGCAAAATTAAAAATGTATTAGTGGGGCCATTCCAAATGGGAAGACGCTTTGAGTTTTTTCCAGCTAGCCCAAGGCTCATTTTTGGATTAGCGATGAGTGTAACATAGATAAGTTTGGGGTAAGAACAAAGTCATTCCATAATAAAACAAGCGGACTGACCCTGTGAATATAACAAATTCCATGCAGGAATGTTAGCAGTACACACAGGGCAAAACTAATAATCGGTAAAGGATAAGTATTCCAGTCGCAGCGTGAACGCCATCTAACAAGCTACATGACTATACTGGGTCAGGCAGTTAAAACAGTAACTGTTGCAGTCTTAATCAATAAGTATCAACAAATAATCAATACAAGCAACCAATCGTGTCATTTGCAGCCATGGATATCTCCGTTTTTGACACTGCGCGAGGGTGTGAATGAACAAGCGTATTCACATTTAAGAACGTGCTTCTGTTTATTCTTGGGGCTCGTTCCATGCATGGAGCGATCTTAGACCTACGGCTGTCGTAAGTCTGTTACGATAGTCTTAAGTAAGTACGATAATCTTAGCACAAAGATCGCTTTGAGACACGGGAGCCCTAGTCTCGAAATGCCTCGTGTAAACTTGCACATTGGCAATCATTTTACGTTTCATTCAAGTTGTTAAAAGATCTTTGTCTACTACTTCAGCATTAAATGGTAAACATTAATCTATGTCAGTTAACGATCAGCGTAATTACCATGACAGTGTCTTAACTATGAACTGAAAATGGTTACCCGACCGCGGAGAATACATATCGTCGCTCTTGAAGCAAGTATACATCAGAAATATACGACTCGCAAACTGAACTAATATCGTCAATATATTTTCAATGGTACCTTAACTCGAGACGAAAGTGTGCCGAATATCAACTCGCCTCACCGGGTTCTCCATGAATTGTATACCCTATACACAACAACATTCAATATTGGTCCTGGGTATCAATAGTTAAGGGACCGAGTCTGTGTATACGTGAATACATTATTCATGTCGGGGCGAAATCACTGAACGGTTGAACTGATATCATACGTCATGGTACACACTTATATATAATGCCCCTGTAGGTTTAAGGGCTCCACATATAGAATTTTCGTGAACCGATGGCACATGGAGGTGCATTACTCACTACATTTTGTTCCGCAAGGTGTGTTTGTTGCTCGGCGTCGCACTCGTCAATATTCCAGCTCTGTGACATCGGCCTGTACATAACCGAGTCTGACCTAGACAAACAAGTGATTGATAATATAAGCAGCGCCCCACTCCGTCTCGGTACGATGATAGGCAAACTTGTCACCGAGTCTTGATATCGGGGCACGCACCTCTTTGTGTGTGTGTGTGTGTGTGTGTGTGAGTGTGTGTGTGTGTGTCCCCGCATGTGTATATCGTGAGTTCGAATCACGGTTCGCCTCTGATTATGTTTATGGATCTGTCAGCACCGTAGAGGTAAACGTCTAATACCGGAATAACTCCGGGCTTTCCCCACTGGGCGAAACAACACTGGCGCCAGTTTAATAGACCATCTTATAGAGAGGGGTTCACTGTTTCGGTTGCATGCATGGTATGTAAAATAGAAAACATGGGTTTGGAGGGAAGAAAAACATTTGATATGAAAGACGTGGATTTATTGTGCAGAAAGGGTGTTGTTGACTTCTTAAATGTCACCATGCCACCATGTTCATGCTAAAACAACGGACCCGTGAAGATTCCGGGGTAGAATACGTCTTTTGCAACCCATGCTTGTCGTAAAAGGTGACTATGCTTGTCGTAAAAGGCGACTAACGGGATCGGGTGGTCAGGCTCGCTGACATGGTTGATGCATGTCATCGATCCCAGTTGCGTAGATCGATGCTCATGATATAAATCACTGGACAAGAAAAGTCGCCTTTTTCAGCAAGCATGGGTTGCTGATGACCTATTCTAACCCGGTTCTTTCAGTCGTAAGCATTTCTTCTATATTCATCTTGTGTGAGTCGAAGGCCAAAGACACTGCATCGGTTGACTGTTCTTGTGCCATTGTACCCTGCTGCATCGTTTTTTATGCTGCTTCCAACCACTGGTTTGTCTCACCCCTGGTTGGGGGCACGGGTGGCCCAGTCGTCCAAGGCGCCGCGATTCGCTGTGCAGAGTTGCGTCCCTTGGGCACGCCAGAAACCTATGATTGTGGGTTCGAATCCCGGTTCGCCCCAATTATGTTTCTAGGTTTGTCAGCACCATACCCGTGCTCGTGGGTTTCACCGAAGTGGTAAACGTCTGAGAACTGCATCACTTCGGGCTTTCCTCCCACATTAAGCTGACACGCCGCGATATAACTGGAATACTGTTAAAAGCGGCGTTAAACCCAACTCACTCACACCTGGTTAAGGAGATGTAACGTTGTTGAGTGCGGTGTAATACAACATTCACTACACCGACGTGAGTGTTGCTCATCTCAGATCGATAAGTGTACACGTGGGCCGACGACCACCGCGTGTTTATTGATTATTCAGATTGATCAAAGATTTTGTGTGTCATTTAATCTTTTGAGTAAACGGACGAATTTTACACGTAGGATATATTTCCAAATGGAATGTTCGAAGGACAGTTCCAACTATACTTTCTGACATCAAAACGATGTTCTAAGCTCTGGTTAGTTGCACGTTTGATTCAGTCCGATTATAGAAACACCCTGTTTGTCTGCTTATTTTATGTCGTAAATCAATCTATAGCAATTACCGAGCGCACTATTTACTGTCATTGCATACGTTTCAAACAGGGCACTAATTTATTATATCGATTGTCTAGACCAACACTTAAAAGAGCACCAGACTGGAGCAACCTCGCTTTGAAAATATAAAGATACTCTTAAAGAAGGTTTTCTTGTGATTTTAGTTTCCACTAATAACCAGACATTGAAGATGCAGAGAGTTTTTAATGTAGATTGTTAATACACTTATTACTTGCATGGACTCCGAATGGAGTTTGATGAATCATCATTTGCAGTATCTTGAGACAGAGGGAGAATGGATCTGAATCACAATAAACAAAAGTGTCATGTTTAGTTGATACTAGCATTCTTCTCGTTATTGTACTGTCCATCGTTGACAGGTTTTTATTTAATCAAAATATATGTAATATTAATGTACTTCTCGTGACGATATGGCTGAAATACTGCCGATGTGACGTTAAATCTTAACTCACTCATTGATACTAGCATTCGCCAGCAAAAGAGGAAGGGGAGCCGAAGTGCGTAGTTTCTAGTGGTATTCATCGAGCTGTAAATTCGGAGTTATGCCCCTTGGTTGCTAGTAACGACAGCCTATTTACTAATGGTGGTCGAACGAAATCAACACTGCAGACGAATTTTAGAAAACATATGAAATAAAGACCCAAGTAAGACGTTTTCAGTAAGCTGTTGTCTTGCGATCCATTGAGTAACTACAACTGTCGTAACTGCTAAATATTGTTTTTGATGCTTTTGAACTGACTTTTATTAAGTAAGACAAGTGGTATTTTATCAGAAGTGGTCCAGGGTGATATTATGTGCATGTTGACGTGAGTTGTTTCACGAAAGGCTTTTGTTTAATTTAGTTAAGCCTCTATCTGTATTATTTGCAAATACATTATGCAGATTAAACTGCACTGATATACAGGCCAAACAGTGTTATTATTATACAGTGCATTTTTTCTCGGTAATGTTTTTCAAACGGATTATTCATTGCTGATTGTTGTGTATGTGTCATTCAGACAAACTATGGCAGACACTCCAAACCAACGTTCAACAGCTGTGTCTCCAGCTGTATCGGATACATCTGGAAAGAAATCAAGTAAGTTATTGCTGCATCCCACATTTTTTTATTGGAAAACCCACAGGTATGTTGAAAGTATGGTTTTAGATGATGTTCTCATTACAAATGCTCCTACCATACCCACTCTGAACAACAAGCCTTTGAGGTTAAGAAACTTGTCTAGTTCAACATATGTACATCTAAATTGATGGATGACCAAGGTTCATGAATCCCACCAGTTGTATTGCAGCATTAATTATCTATCTGGAAAGGATTGTAATGTCTGAAACAATACACAAAGGCTCATTATTTCTTATTGTTGTATACATGTGCAGTTATAGACACCCAGAGCTTAATCTAACTTGGCCACAGCTCACTTGGATGAGTGATGTTATGTTATGTTTAAGTTTTGAACCAAACACACTCACTCACTGAACCTTTCTATTCTGTGAACCAGGACAAGACAACTCATCGCGTCAGTCTGGAAGAGTGACATTTCCTAATTCTGCCAAATCAGCATCAAGTGTAGGACTTGCAGAAGGTAAGATTTTCATTGTGTGTGTTATGTAAAACATATTCTCATCATGTCATATCTTGAAAAGATATTTGAAATATTCTTATGATGAGAAGCTTTTTTGAAAGCAACTTAGCAAAGCAAGCAAAGCATCGGATTAATTTTCTGTTTCAGATGAATTTGCTTCTCAAGGCAACCCTTTCAAGATGCCCCCTGACAGTGATATCTTCATGCTGCGAGATAAAGAGAGACAGAGAAAAAAAGTGGTATGACTCTAACTTGATGAATCATTGTAACAAATGTTTATATTTGTATATATTTATCATTCACTTCAAAGCAATAAATAAGTGGCTAAAGATTAATGGAATGAAGATTACTATTGATACTATTGCAATCATATGATTTGTTTCTCCAAACAGATTCTGCCCGAATTGTTTTCAAGTGAAATGCTATTAAAGACACTCTGATGCTTTTTTAGGAAAGAGAAAAACAGCGCAAACTCCATGTTCATGAGAAGACAACATATGCATCACGTGTCAACTTCCGCACAGCTGCCATGATCAACCCTACAGAATCATCAGACGAGGATGGGGAAGAGGAATCCGACAAAGCCGTTGCTGTCAAAGATGACCCTCAGTTCACAATAGCTGTCACAAGAGGTGATGAAGCAGTCTAATCAAACATCAGTATCTATCTGCACGTAACATGTTTAGATTGTGTGAGACAAGATTCACGTTATTTGTTGAAACAGCATGATCCTTTTATGTCCTTTGTTGCAATATTAATATTGACACTTGTGAATGATACGTTATACATAACACTTGAATTCAGGTGTCAAAGATTTGAAACACTTACAAGTTAACTTGGTTTAAACTTCAAAGTGTTGATGAACCGTTCTGATTTGATCAGTGTAGCAGTTTGTTCAAAAGATCTTGATAAGGCTAATTCATTATTTAACGTAATTTAAGACTAAGCATAATCTACAAAAGTGAAAACAATAGAAGACCCATCAGATTCAGTCTGCTTACATGTTGTTTTAAGGAAGGTAAACGATTATCTTAGTATTTTAGAGCCATATAATGAACGATTTCTATTCATATTTTGAATGACTTTAAGTTCCAAAGAAAAAGAAAGCAAAGTTTGAAATCAATTTTTAAAATGTATTTTCTTTCCTTTGGAGTTGATTAAGGTATACTTACCTTTTAACAAGTATGTTTACCTGGACAATTCATGACAAGAAATAGACTTGGCCTATCTTAAATGTATAATTCCAGTCGTATCCACTTCATGTAACCTGTTTACATGTCTTTCACATGTCTGTGTTTCAGATCGCCATGTAGAAAAAGAATCCCTAGCAGAATACATCAGCAAGAAGAGAGAAATGTTTCTAGTTCAGGTAAAGCACCAACACATTAAAGTGAAGTCCTTTTAATGAAGACATTACCATATCCAATAAAATTGTCTGAATTACCAAAATTTTGAGATAAACCAATCATGATTTGATGGTAATGATGGTAATGTCCCTTAGTTACCCATTAACATTATCAGCAGTTATCACCTGGTAGGTTTTCCATCATCTTCCTGAGTCAAGGGAGATAACTGACAATAATAGTCCAGTTTCCACCCTTGACAAACTAGGCTGGAATTATGGAGTCATATTTTGGCTGGACCAACGAGTCTATGCATAGTCCAATCAAATTCATGTACGAAAACAATATTCGGCTCGTAAACTGCCGATTTCGGTCGATTGCAGAATTTGCAATTCATATGTACTGTCAACTTAGAGTCAACAGATATTTTCAAAATCTTTTCCTGTTTTAGATGATTTGATGCACTTTGCGAAGCTAGACTTGTTGTATTACAATATTGATCTTGATTATCGATCAGATCGTCTTCACTGTGCGCCGCCATTTTGTTTGAAGCAAATGCAAGTCATATCAGAGGTGGCATAGAATGTATTGTAAGGCAAAACTTTTTTTTATAGAAAAATAAAAATGGCTTAATGTGATGTGACCCGTAATGTGATGTCGTCAGATCTTTGTTTGGCGGTAGGGAGAATTAAGATCTGATTTTAATGAGATTGGCCTAGCACCGACTCGGCTATTTATGGACCACTGTAATACATCTGTAAACACAGATCCCTGCGGCATAGAACAACGTTCACTGTTTACGTGAGATAAGTTGTCTGTTCTGTTTTATTTGATACCCTGAACTATTTTTGTCCTGTTGACAGTACTCGCTGGGAGTGAAGAGGGATGAGATGAGGAAGCTGGAGGAGATTGCACAAGCCGAGGAGCGCAAGCTGGAGCTGGCGGAGCAGTACCTTGAGGAGGATGCTGCCATGTTTGACGAGTTCCTCAAGGAGAATGACAAGAATTCTGTGGAAGCCATCAAGATGTGAGTTCTGTTCTTGGCCACAGCCCAATGGATATAGTCCATTCTGATTTCATTGTTGAGACCATGTCAAAGAGTTTGTGCACTTGTTAGCGATTAGTAATTTGTGATAGGGTAGGGCAGTAAGGTTGGGTCACGAAAGTTTGACAGTGACAGAGTGGGTGGTTCGCCCAAATTTATCACAGCTATTGAGGGGGGAAAGGGTGGGGGGGGGGGGGGGGGGGGGGGGGGTGTTCATTGAAAAATACTGCTATCAGATGAGAAATAAGTTTCTATTTCTACACTCAAGGACAACTTGTTTGGAGGTAGGGACTTGTTAGTCACTTTTGCTTTAATGGAAATACTCTGCTATTGAAAGCATTTTGCAGGTATGATGCTTTGAGCCAAACAAAGTTGATGCAAGTCATCATCCATTCTCTCTTGACTACTGGTATATATACTAAAACACTTTGAAAATTCATATTCCATTTATTGTAACATTTGGCAAAATGGCCACAAAAATCAAATTACGTTGTACTGAGTAGTTAGGCATGAGATAATCAAACACACAGTTGTGTGGTACAGGTTCAGATCTCATTTGATGTGTTTGGAGATGGACCTGAGCACCAAAGCACATCTTTTCTGTGATTATGGTTGAAATGTTTGGACAGATTTATTTATATGCAGGCAAGCAATTCATTCAGATATATGCTTACATTAGAATATTTAAACTAAGTGTGTAGATACACTTCGGTAGGGTAAAGGGATATATGTGTAAGCAGGTATATTGAGGAATGACCACAAATCAGTTGGTCGAGTACAATTAGTTGAACATTACTCAAAATGTTCGCATGAGATTTCATCACATCAGATAATCCTAACTCAGGTGTGCACCCAGACAAGTTGGATGAACCGACTAAAACGAAATAGACATAAATGATGCAATCTCATATCAGAAATTATTGAGAAGATAATTCTAAAGAAGTTACCACTTTCAAAATGTAAAAAATCCTTGAACAGAGGACAGTAAATGTTAACTTTTTAAGATGAATTTGTGAAATAATCCTGTTAATTAATAAAGACTTACATAAATAACTTTCAGAGCAGAGCAGGAGACGAAGACAAAGTTGGAGAAAGTAGCGGAGATCAAGAGAATCAATGCCCAGATGATGTCAATCAAGTCTGAGATTTCCAAGTATGAGGACACACTGAAGGAATACCAGTTGTACCGGAGATTCCTGGAGGCTCTCACACCACCGGTAAACAGTCATGTTTGATAATAATGTCATGATGATAGCCATTGCGTACTTGGATCCAGATGCAGCATACTTAACATATAAACATATCCAGAATTGTCATTACATGCTATGTAGTCAACTGAAGAACTATCTATTGCAAATTGTTTCTTAAATCATTGATCTATCTAGCATGTTGTTTTTAAGTGGAGCCCCATTTGCCAATAGGCTGTATCTGCACTTGTATTGGCAGGAATAGTTTGAGAATTAAAAATTCAGTTTAACTTCAAGTAAGTTAAAACCATAAAATTGTTTGTAAATTGTTATAAATGAATCCCTGGCCACCCTCCCACCCAAGACTTGTAACATTTATACAAGAACTGTAATGTTTTTTCATTTATCTTTTTGCTGATTATTTGAAAAAAGTGAGCAACCTTTTTGTTGACAATGCATACAATGGTTCTGTTTTCACTGGATTGGTTGGGAGATGAAATGTACCAAATATTCCTGAATGCACATCAAAAGAATGGTGAATCTGATTCCTTCTTCAGGAGTTTGCAGAAGAGAAAGACAAAGAGAGGCAAGACCGGAGAGAAGAGAGGAGAAAGGAGAGAGAAAAGAACGCAGCTAACCTGAAAAAGGGTGGATTGCCGGAACTTGGAGGGAAGCAGAGTTCAGCAGGGGACCTCAAGCAGAAGAAGAAGGGGCTAAGGGGGGCACTGCAGAAAGCATCATCAAAAACAAAGTAAGAACAACTTAGATTTCAAAATTCAGAACGTTTTTTTCTAATGATGCATTGAATGACAGTGGTCTAAGATGTCAGTTAGCCGTGCCAGGATCCACTGGTCCATCGATTATGATCCTTGGCATATTGACACCATTTTGTGTTTTTTTTCTCATCATTCCATGACCTGCATCTCATTTGTCTAAACTTTGTCAAAATTGGCTGTGGGGAGTTGCATCCCTTTGGCATGCAAGGATCTAATGATTATGAATTTGAATCCCATTATGATCTTTGTTTTGTTATCACCATACCCATGCTCATGATATACCAAGGTGGTAAATGTCTATGATCTGAGTCACTTCCCACTTTCCAACTACAATAAGCTGATGAAGATGTTCAAAGCAGTCTCATTAAAATCAGATTTAGTACTCTGATATGATACCTCTCAGACAACTCCTCCCCTCTGGAGGTCACGTCAGATGAACTTTCTAATCAGCCACCCAGTGAAGATCTGGATTAGAATTGGTTTTCAGCAATACATGACACACAGTTTTATCTGGTCAAGATTCAGTTGTTTACAGACTGTAATCATATAGCTTGAATATTGCATGGAATATTAGAGTGTTGTTTTAAAAAGATATAATCTAATCAGTATCGAGGCTTGGAATGAATGAAGTAAAGCATTTGGAGCAGTATATCTAATTCCTGTATCTTGAAAATATACATAAATGAACGGTCCTGAATGTAAATAATAAAGGCAGCATGATTCTATTGTTCAGGATACACCCTGACATTTCTTAGCATCATGGAATCTATACCAAAAGGTACAATTGAAGGTATACTTGTGTTCTGTATGGGTTTTCTTTTGTTGAAATATGAAATTTCAGAGAGGTAGGGGGTGTTACATACCAAATGTATGTTGTAGGAGGCGGTAAAATTGACTGAGAGAGGATTTTGATATTTTGGATCCCTCCTTTTTAAAAGTGCTGGATCCGCCCTTGGAGGTGGTATAGAAGTTAAGCTAAATCAGGTTAGAAAGTTGACATTTGATTGGGTGAAGAAACCACTGATCCTTCAGCTAGATTGGGCCATCATAGTTGGCTGAGGATTCACCTAACGCTGCCATCTGTGGAGGGGTTGTCAGGTCTTCATGCAGATAGGTATCATACTGGGGTAAAACACTTGATTTCATTGAAGGGCATGGGTGGCCCAGTCGTCTAAGCCGCCGTGATTCACTGTGCAGAGTTGCGTCCCTTGGGCACGCCAGAAACCTATGATTATGGGTTCGAATCCCGGTTTTCCCTGATTATGTTTCTACGTTTGTCAGCACCATACCCGTGTCCGTGGGTTTCACCGAAGTGGTAAACGTTTGAGACCTGCATCACTTCGGGCTTTCCTCCCACATTAAGATGACACGCTGTGATATAACTGGAATACTGTTAAAAGCGGCGTTGCTCACTCAGGTCAAGTTGGTTGTTCTGTACTGCTGTGTTCACTTGGTCCGTGTGTGTGTTGCAGGTCGGGGGAGACAGACAGTATTATTTCCTCAGGGGATCAGTCAGATGATGACAGTGATGAGGTAAGCTTCAGATTAATCATCTTCAAACGTGTAGTGATTTGTCTTCAACAATATGTTTCAGTCTAGAATGTACATGTTGTCAAGGTCCAGACTCTTGTCCAGTCTGAGACCTCACTTACTCCCTCACTCACTCATCCCGATTGCCATGTGCAGGATCTGGAGCTGTTTTTCCAAGACCCCCAGCAACTCCTGGACATCTTTGCAGAGTTGGAGGAGCAGAACCTGTCCCTCATCCAGAACAGTCAGGAGACCGAGGAGGCTCTAGAGGAGATGAAGCAGACCATCAAACAGACCAAGAGGAAGATGTAAGTGTTCTGCCTTCATACTACCCCAGTGATCTGAGGCGCAGCACAACATGCTTATCTCTGCCAAGTGTGGCTGTCTTGGGTTCAAGTCTCTGTTGTCATCACCTTACATATATTCATGGGTTTCATCAAAATTGAAATGTCTAGGACCTACTTCCTATCAGACTTTCCTCCCATCAAGCTGACAAGTCGTCATATACCTGAAGTAATGTTCCAAGCAGTGTTAAACCCAACACAACCGCATACTCACTTATAAGTGTTGAATCAAGATGGAAAATACAGCAATCTGGGATGCTGCACATGTGTTATGCCATCGATGTAGGGGTCGATATAGCTGACAGTCAGTTATCCTTGGCAAGTAATATGTGGGTCAGACCAGTAATATTTAGGATGTTCTATCACAAATATATCATCACTGTCAATTAAGTTGCAAACTCAGGCTTCCTGAGTAGAACTGGTGAAAGGTACACAGACATGTAATCTGAAGGATTAGATTTGAACATTTTAACCTCACTTATGCAAGCACTTATGTCAGTTGACCAATCAGTGGTCAGGAAAATTATCAGACAACCAATCAATATTTAGAAAAATATTTTGACAACTGCAGATATGTAAAGATATGTCTCATAAAAGCCAGTATTGGAAAATATAAGATAGCTACGCAATAAATCGGAAAGAACAATGAAGAACGAAGCATAGCTTATTTCACAAATTAAACCTTGTTCTATCATGCCATCATTTCTGGAGATTTGAATATGCGCTCTCAATTTGATGACATCATATATTGGACAACATTATTTTTTAGAGGGAAGTTTCTAGTAAGTTGTTCCCAATATATGTAGCTGGGCTACTCTGATAAACGCAGTGGCCGAACGATCACTTCCAAATGCGGGAGAGATATGACAAATGGTATTAGGAGAAAAGGTACAGATAACGGACGTGAGGATTGTGAGAATATGCGGGAAATACCAAACGGAACCTGCCTGTTTATAAAATGGACTTGTCCGACATTTCCGAGTTCGGATTCTATTCAGGGAATCATCATTATTAAAATTTGCGTAAATATTTTTAAAACTTGAACATCGTATCAACATCCTTATTGAGGCTATACCTTATGTTGATATCTCATTTAAGCAATAAACGACTCGTAGTAATTTTTTATCATTTCACCCCTCATGGTTTATTCTCTCTGCACTGTTTTTTTACACGATGAACAACTCTCACTTGTCGTTTATTTCTTAAATATGGTTTATCTTCATATAATAATAGTGAACAGATATCCATCTAACCAGATTCTTCATGTTGCAGGGAGAAGGAGACCTCAATACTACGTGAACAGATAGACAAACTAAACAATTCTATAGTCCGAGAAGAGGAGAAAGCAGCAGATTTACAAATGAAGGCAAAGTGAGTATGATGTGTACCCCTGGCCACTGTCAGTCCATCAGCTCACCAACATTCTCTATACATGCCCAAACAACAACAACAACACTGTTTCCTACACTTGCTTGTACATCAGACCTCAGTATTCAACAGTGTATGAATGATTGTCTATTGCAGAATGTTCAACTATGGAGAGTTCAAGGCAGAGGACCAGGAGAAGATGCTGGGAGCCCTCAACAAGAAGGTGGAGGATGTGTACAGGAGCTGTATAGGGGACAATGAGGCCAACATCAGGTCAGTCCTGTGCAGGGTGGATTGGCATGACTCTCTGTGTCTAGGGGAATTCCGGGGCAGAACAGGTCTCCTGTAAAAATGATTGTCGTAAGAATGAGGATCGACAGTGAAAATTTGTGAGCTGGTTTATTGTTTTCAGTAGCATGAATGGTTTTTCATGCTGTATGCCACTAGTTTACCTGGGACACATTGAATTATTTCCTGGTGGAAGTTATGTATTTAGCTTATTGTTGGGTGGCAGAGAACAACATTCGTTCTCATTCATTAAGCGCATAGCTTCATGTTCAGAGTGTGTATTTCACCTATATGTGTTCCATGAAAAGTGGGGTGGCGGGGTAGCCCTGTGGTTAAAGCGTTTGCTTGTCATGCCGAAGGCCCAGGTTCGATTCCATTCATGGGTACAATGTGTGATGCCCATTCCCGGTGATCCGCTGTGATATTGCTTGAATATTGCTAAAAACATGATAAAATCATACTCACTTACTCATTTCATGAAAAATCTTCAGCACTAGTGGGGAAGTGATCATCCCACTACCATCATCTCAAATCAACAACAGCATGTTATTTTTTGATTGATGCAAATGCAGTGGTTCAAAGCAGCTACCATGCATATAGTGATTGGTTAAATGAAACTTTGTTGCTTTATGTGAATCTTTCCCAGTATTAGTGTAGCAGGGTCTATGTGTTACACAACACCTTTAATTCATACGCCGAAGTGAAACTAGAGTTACCACTGTTGATGGTTACAGTACGCTACAGATGTTGACGAACATCGAGAACCGTCTGGAGGAGCTGTTTGAGCAGATTGAGACAATGCCACAAGACAAGGTGGAGGCAGCAGAGAAGGTAGGTGGCCGAGTAATGGTCAAGTCGACCCTACTGATAACATATACGGACCCAGGGATTTAGGGAGCATAAGGAGACAGTCTAGTGATGTCAAATGGCTACTTCTAATGCCCTTATTTGACAGTTTATGCAACTGGAATATATGTTCTTTAGTTTGACACTTCTCAACAGTCATGTTTGTTGTTTGCTATGCTCTCTGACACGTAAATAGGAGGATTTTGTGTGGGTGTGGATGTGTGCTTGCCCAGATGTGTGTCATCTTCCCTAGGCAAGGGGTGACTTCATAGGTCCAGTTTCCACCCTTGCCGAATTAGGCTGGAATTATGGTTATATTTTGGCTGGACTGACGAGTCTAAGCACAGTCCAATCAAAGTCATGTGACGAGGTCGACATCCGGTTGGTAAACTGCCGTGCGGATTTCAGTCAACTGCAGGATTTGCAAAGCATCTGTACCATCAACTTAGCATCAACAGATATTTTCCAAATCTTTTTCTGTTATTAATGAAGGTGCTCACGAGATCTGATGCACTTTGCGAAGTAAGACCAGTTTTATTACAATATAGATCTCAATTATCGATCAGATCGTCTAGACAGGGCGCCGCCATTTTGTTTGTAACAAATGCAAGTTATATGAGAGGTAGAATCTGATTGGTCAAAAGAAAAGAAATTACTCGTAATATAGCCACTTGTGGTGCTACGATCGAGCCCAGAAACTCCAGCCTGGTTCGGCAAGGGTGGAAACTGGACATTTACGGTCAGTTAGCTCCCTTGCCTTGGGAAAATGGATGGTGTGTGTGCATGTCACTTGGCGTGTGTCTTCTACATGGTGTGTCTGTGTGTTCCAGGCGAAGGAGAAGGAGCGACGGTTGAAGATGCGGGAGGACAAACTGGAGCAGCAGAGGATCCACCAGGAGGAGCGCGTCCGCCGTGCACTGGAGAGAGCCAAGGCCGAACCCAAGAAGAAGGTAAGACACGAGCCTAGATGATACCTGGGGGCAATGATGTCTGGGACGGGATGGTTACCTGTGCACCAAACAGTGACTGCATAGGGATTGGGTCATCACAATGAAAATTTGCGGTATTTAAATTTTGACATTTCACGGATACGATTTTAAGCTGGCACCCCTACAAATTAAAGGCTGTTAGACCCCTAATATAAGTAACCCCTATAAATCCCTGCTACTTTTAAACTATTGTACATTTCTGCATGTATCAGACTGAAACTCTTGTTTCACTTTACCCCAGACTGGCAAGAAGCTGGTGTTCCGTTCCGAGCCTCCCCGCCTCAAGAAGAAGGAGGATGAAGGGGCAGACCAGGCCAGCAAGGAGGAGGAGGAACTGGCCTACTTCTTCCAGTGGTAGCTGCCCCCATCACGCCTGGCCTAACTACTTGCTCTTGTCCCTGCTCAACACTGCCTTGTCCAACACATTTATGTTGGCTCAGCTATACATTAATATTGTCTCAGCAGCTTCATACTGGAAAAGTGTTGATCACTGATGTTTGTTCATACCAAAGACCTCTTTGATTAATTGTTGGATATTCTTTCTGTATGTTTACTTAAAAATATTTTCTAAAAAATGAGGTACATCAAGTTATAATGGGACTTAACTTATTTCAGGTATCAACTGTAAATATCATTTTCAGCTATTCTCTGTTGGTCATTTTAAATTAATGAAGAACATTTTTATCAATGTCTGTATTTGCATGGTAATAGCTTCTCACTATTGTGTTATAAGCAAACATTCTGTATGTACCTATTTCCAACAGACTCTACTGACATTGCTGAAAGCCTTAATGACTAAAACTCTGGAATAGTCAGAGGAATGTATGGATCAGCAATTATTGTCATGATTTTCAACAATTGTCTTTAATGTATATTATTTTACATGACTATCAAAGTGCCAATGTTTTTTCAACAAGAAAACTAATTTCACAGAACTCTGATTATCAGGTATATAAAAAAATGTGAAATTAGGGCTTTAATTATTGAAGAGCCTGTCTCTGTCTGTGCTTACAGTATACAATGGTAGTTTTATGTTGCATTGAACATGTTAATGACCAAATCATGATGCTACATTTCTTGACACATGGTATTCAAAGCCCATCGATACTCTGAATTAACCATGCAAGTGTCAGATTGATTCATTGTAAGAATACTGTCTTGCTGTAACAAATCAATATACTGATCAATATAAAAGTATCAAAGATCTTTTGATGCCATTGTTAACAGGACAAGAGCAAATGATGATATACAGGTTTTACTTATCTGAGAAGCATTTGGATTCAAGGGAGGTTACTCCTACAAGACCAATGAGACTGCAATATAAATGGAGCCGACATTGTGTAAAGACTTTCTAGTGCTCATTATCCATTGGAGATCACTGGAAATATGGCGACAAGCTGTCTTGTATATTATTGATTGTTATTTGTGATTGTATGTATGAATGTACATAAAGAGAATGTGCTTTTTAAGGGATGTTTCATGTAGTTATTTAAAGATTCAAGTTGTCATATTGCCAGCACAAACAGATCAGCAGTTATGAAAAGGCTGACGATTCTTGGGTAGATTAGCCTCGACTATCCAGTGTCAAGTTGCAATTCTATTATAACAAGCATGAAATACTCACATCCCCCGCCAATATGACATGTCCGGTTGTGTGCAATGCATTAGCTCCTGTGAACTATGTTCACTGGGCCTTTTTGTAAATGGCCTAATTGCAGCACTAAAAAAAGTTGTTACTGGTGTTGTTTTGCCATCTGCAGTTGATGATAGAATATGTAACTGAATTTGTAATGAGTAAGGATGAGACATATGGACAAACAACTTCTTTATTACATTTAGGAGCAATGGTTTCGGTGTAGGTTCTAACACCCTTATCTAGCAAGTGAAGTACAGAGTATGGTTGACAAGAATATATACCGGGTAGTGTTTATACAGTTGAATAGGTTTAAGATCACTTACACTGTTGTATTTGTAATGAGTTGTGTTTCTGCATGAAGTTAGTCAGTGAATGCAACAACTGTGCCCATGACACTTTTGGAGGAACATACACTCAAGTAATGCAGAACTTACCAACAAGAAAGGAAATGTATTTAATACTGTGAGATGACATTATGTGCCAAATATGGTGAAGAAATATGGTACGGTTTTCAAGATCTGCTCCGGAAACGAGGACTACCGCCATTTTCAGTCTAAGTCGTTGCCATGGAAACTCGAAAAATAACTTTATAAAAAAATCCCAAACTATCAAAAGGCACCAGTTCACCACTAGATCTATGTATGTGCCAAGTTTGGTGAAGAAATATGGTACGGTTTTCAAGATCTGCTCTGGAAACGAAATGTGACGGAAGGATGGCACCCATTCCTATATCCTATATATTGGATAATAAATGCACTGGACCCAAGATGAAGCTATGATAGCAAATGGGTCCAAGTAACTGAATAGAGATTGATGGGAGTTTGTGGTACAGAATTACTCTCCCGGTATTATGGTTGCCATTAATAGAATCTTGAAACTTTTTTCTCTCTAACCCCAAATGTAATGACATGGGAAAAGGTTTATGACGACTGACTTACTACTTCCTAGATGAATTTATGTTAGTGTTCTGCATTACGACAGTCATCACTTGTTGTAAACAAAAATGTTCAACTCCATGCATGGTTGTAGGCCATCCAGCACTGCGGGGAGCCAACACTGGTGGAAGTGATACAGTCTATCCCAGATCACCAAAGTCGCTCATGGTGGATTGGTGACACATATATATAAGACACAGACATGATATATTTCAGCATATATTTATTTCAGTTATACAAAATCCATGTGGTAAGTGATACACATGAAGTATGGTACTTACAGTGAATGTAGACAAAGTACAGTCAGTTCCGCTATCTACAAGACAATTGGTAAAGCCCTCCCAAGACTTGAGGATACCCTTAACACACACCTGATGCTGGCTCACTACTTGTATGTGTGAATTTCTGTATTTCTCTGGGATGTTAATAGCATGAAAGAGATTGGTATGAGAATGAGCAAATATTCTACATGATGTCTGATGAAATTTTCAAGCAAGAGATTCATCAACAGGTCTTCAAGAATGAACCTCCACATCTTAGCTGCCTATGGTGCTAGTATACGATCTGATAGTGTACAGGTTCTTTGATAAATTATAAGTATGTTCTATGAAGGGGGCAGGTTGATTGAAAGTTGCAAGCATGGCCACGGAAATGGCTTTCATTGATGATGCAAGATTGTCACACATGAAAGAAGGATGTTGATGAGTTTTGGCAGTTCCATTAGCATGATGTGCTATTTGCAAAAACAGCTTTTAGATAATCGCTGTGTGTCTTGAGTAGATGAAGCAGCACACAGTTCTATTTGTAATGATCATGTAATTTATGAACAGGTCATAAACAAATAAGAATTTTAGACAAACTAGAGTTAACAAGCAATGACAGCCATTGGTATTTTTCTTTAAACTGCATGACAATTATTATATATTTCTACAAAACAATTTGAACTGCCTACTGGATGGACAAAACTCTTGAACGTAGCCATTGAGTCCAAATAAATATCAGAAACAACACAGAAGAAATCATAAATAATTAGGAGAGTACTAAAACTGCCTTTCATGCCATCAAAATATAGGGGGCAAAATAAACAAACCATTAGATTCAATCTGAAGTCGTCGGAACTGTTTGGTATCTCATATATAGTGGGACATTCTTGAATCTCAGACACCATAAATAACATTCAAATGTTTTGATTATCATGCTTTGAGCATTCAGGATGCAATAAGAAAATACTACGTAAATTTCATGTGTAGTCTGCACGTATAGGCGTTAGTAGTATACATAGACATACTTTAATAAGGATAAAATACACTGATAAAAGTAACAAATAGTCCGGGGACTAGCCAGATTTCATAAACAAACAATGTGGATTGATCACTTTCATTGAAACAATTTTGGGTACATCAGTACTACCGGTACTCGTAAAATATGAACTGACATTTTATTTTCAGAATAAAAATGGGAAAATGTTTTGACTTTTACTACAAGAATGGGAACAATGCGGGTTACAATGCATATGACCTCCTAGCAGGAAGTCTGGACAACAGCACTGGTGCTATGATTGTAACATACCCACTGAAGTAGACAGGGTGGAAGCCTCTTTGCTTTCATTAATCATCACCACAGTAAATCAAGGCAAAAATACTAGATAATTAATGCTTAAAGAGACGGTACAAAGAGGGAGTATGGTTTTACGCCGCTTTTAGCAATATTCCAGCATTCCGGCTGGGAGACACCAGAAATGGGCTTCACACATTGTACCCATGTCGGGAATCGAACCCGGGTCTTCAGTGTGACGAGCAAACGCTTTAACCACTAGGCTACCCGACTGCCCCGACAGTACAAAGAAACTGTTTTGGATTCAGTAATGCAGAGATTAAGTATGTTCATATCAACTAGACTTGAATTATTCTTCATTACAGGAAGCATTGTGTTTTATATTGATGTAGTTGACATCCAATTGTGTTAATAGAAATTACTTAAAGAGATGGTAAAAAGAAAGACACTGTTTTGGATTCAGTAATACAGAGTTTAATAAGTGCTGACTTTACTTGAAATACCATCATATCAATTAGATTCTAATTCTTCATTATTAAAGAAAGAATTGTTTTTTTATTTTTATATTGATGTAGATGACATTAAATTTTGTTAATAATAATAAAATATTATGAATCAAATGTCAGTATTGAGTAACCATAACCTCTAATGATGTACAGAGTACATAACTCAGACTTGTTAAAAGTAAAATGTTTCAGACAGACACAAACCTGTCAGTTTGACATCGTGTGATATATGAAAGCAAAGAGGCCCACCTTGTGGAGAGTATTGCGATAGTGTTTTAAGAATCACAGTTCTGCAAGACATCCAATCCATGCACTACATCGTTGCATATAAGCTTTATTATTTGTTTATTTAACTGAGACTCATTGCATATAGTCCTCCGTCGTATCACCCAATTGTCGGACCCCATCATTTTGCTGACTCATCACTCCGTCGACTAGTTCAACATAAAAATAGTACATAATAAATTCATCTCTCTCTAAGAAACCGTTCAACGTATGTTCACTACATATGTAAAAGCTCATTCATCCAAGCTACAAGGCTTTCTATATACACTGTACAAAAATCTATAAAATACCCAGTAAAGAATATACTGGCATTTTTTAAAATATAGACAAGTAAAATCCAAATTGGACAAATACATCTAATCCAATTGAAATGTCTGAGATCCTTCACAAGGACCTGTTGTCAAGACAACCAAGGTAACTGTACAACCTCTGCAGTCTGGCAGCCAATCCATCTGGTTGCTGAGCAACCATTTTCCCACACACACCTACTGATGTCTGTCCTCAACCATCCAGGCCGGCACTCGGCTCCCGTCTCATCAACAAGTTTCACCTCTTCCGCAAAAACTGATTCGCCACAAAGATGCTGAGACTGTTTCCGTTAAGACTGTTAAATCATAAGATGGTGCACAATAATCAATCTTATTTGCTTTGATGGCAACTCAGCATGGAAATCAATTTCACCTAATCTGCCAAATTAATGTCCAGACTGAGATTGAAACTGTTGCCCTTTGACTTCAAAAAGGGTGCACCATCTTGTATTTTGCCATCTCTGAGTTACATTAAACAGCAATTCAGTATTGGAACGGTCGTGAGTTAGGCGGATAGCTCTGGAAGTAGTCCTCGCGATTCTCGGGGATCTGTCTCCGGCCCAGGTGAGGGGAGCTGTGGCCGATTGGGCCGTTAGCAGCAGTCATTCCGGGCGGATAGCGACTCATCGGGGATGAACCAGCATCTGAAAGGTGCAACAGAATCAGTTAACATCGAACTGAGATGTGTCAGTGCATGATAATGTCAAGGTCACAAAACACAACAGAATGGAATCCATTCAAATTTCGACATATCATAATACAATGAATTAGTGTAATTAACAAAAATAATTATTAATTTCTCACACATATTGCATGGTTTATAAACCTTTAAACTTTGACAGATCTCTAGACAATGAACTCACAAAGCAGAACCATCTTTCATGATTACAGTGCTTAGAAATTGTTGACACTTTTTATGTTATCTGGATACAAGAGATATAAAGAGATATATATCGACCAGTAGAATGGTCTACAGATATTAGTGTGAACAAGATATATATTGACAGTGGAGTTTTAGAAGCAAATGTCCTTATATTTCTCTTCAAACATATACAAGCAGTTCCTCCCATAAAGTCAGATACAAAATACAGCTGCAAATAAAAGTCACAACATTGTCTGCAGAAACTGTGAAACTATCAGTAGTGGACAACAGCTAGAATGAATGAAATCCTTATTCCCTCGCCACTAATGGCAGGTACTGTTGATCCCAGTCTTGTGAGTGTGAGTGAGTATGGTTTTACGCCGCTTTTAGCAATATTCCAGCAATATCACGGCGGGGGACACCAGAAATGGGCTTCACACATTGTACCCATGTCGGGAATCGAACCCGGGTCTTCGGCGTGACGAGCGAACGCTTTAACCACTAGGCTACCCGACCGCCCCGATCCCAGTCTTGGGTTGAACCAGTGAAGACTTGAGTACGTGGAGGGATCAGTGTTGTTATATGGAAATCATTAACAAGCAATGTTGTTTGTTTGTACTTTAACACCGCACTCAGCAATATTCCAGCTCTATGACAGCTGCCCATAAACAATCCAGTGATTGATATTGTGAGCCACGCTGTAGGGGTACATTGACACACAATAAACCAAATCAGCAAGTCTGACCACTTGTTCCATACAGCTGCCTGACAAACATGTTGCTGGAGACTTGTACTAAACCAGAATCCCCATGTGCAAGCCACGTTGTGACATTACTGACTTGATCTTGACCTTATGTACATTAAACTTGACTTTCCTGTCTGTATTCAAGGTAGATCATTAAATGTATATTATCGATGTTATCAATTTAAAACACACATATTGCAAGTTACAAATCACACATGTTTTGAACTGAGCTGAGGAGTTGTGTTATATATTGAGTTGAGTATAAGCATGATAGAGAGGATGATCCAGGGCCAGGAGGGGGGGGGTGGGGGTGGGGGGTGATTGGTGGGGGGGTGTCTTGACCCCTACCCTTTATTCCCACTTCAGAATGTCTTCACACATCTCTCATAGAGTGAGTGAGGTCTTACGCCACTTTTAGCACTATTCCAGCAATATCACAGCAGGGGGACACCGGATATGGGCTTCACACACTGTACCCAAGTGGGGAATCGAACCCGGTTCTTTAGTGTGATGAGCGAACGCTTTAACCACAAGGCTACCCCACTGGTTGCTGAAAACCAATTCTAACCCAGATCTTCACAGGCGTATCGGTCAATGAAAATACCCCCCCAAATCCCATATAGTGCAAGAAGTATAGAGCCCCTTCCGAGTTCCTGGATCCTTCCTTGATGTTATATGATTACAGGTTTGTAGTGGGCCGGTGTTCCATCAGTGACACGGCCAGGAGGGTGGTTATACTGAAGCAGCTAGGGGATCTACTCCATGGACAATGATACACAACGTCACGGTTCAGGACAAAACTCAGGGTTATTGTTGGTTAACTACACACAAGTACCTGGCAGGGTGGATGAAGGTTGCACAAGCTATCCTACAATGTGGGAAGTATTCAATGAACCGATAACGTTTGATACCAGATATGACAAAGAAACAAATTGATTTGAAATCGGACAAAAATCTACTCTATCAGAATATAACATGTATGTCAGAAACGATTGTCACTTTGGTGGTGCAGTGGCTCATCAAGCATGACCTTTCTGTGTACACAGTGGGTGAGTGAGTGAGTGTGGTCTATGCCCTCATCATCTTCCCGAGGCAAGTGAGTTAACTGACTATAAAAGTCCAGTTTCCACCCTTGCTGAACTAGGCTGGTATTATGGAATTACATTTTGGCTGGACTAACGAGTCTATGCATAGTCCAATCAAAATCGCGCACCGAAATCGAAATCCGGTTCGTAAACTGTCGTGCAGATTTCGGTCGATTGCAGGATTTGCAAAGCATGTACACCGCCAACTCGATGTCAGCAGATATTTTCCAAATCTTTTCATGTTTTTAATCAAGGTGCTCACGTGATTTGATGCATTTCGCAATGTTTTATCACAATATAGATCTTGATTATCGATCAGATCGTCCTGACTGGACGCCACCATTTTGGGTGAAGCAAACGCAAGTGATACGAAAGGTGGAGTCTCATTGGTCCATAGGAGAGGCTTAGAGGGGGCATAACTGGTAATAGCCACTGGTGGCGCTATGATCGAGACCAGTAATTCCAGCCAAGTTCGGCAAGGGTGGAAACTGGACTTTTAAAGTCAGTTAACTCTCTTGCTTCGGGAAGATGTGCCCTCATCTTGCAGTTTGTATGATGGCTGATTGTAAAGAGATCAGGATGGGATCTCACAAACAGGTGGTCGATAGTGTAAGCACCAATCCATGGGGTAAGATGACACAAAAGTACAGGTCACTGCCAAGATATTATCAGGGGTACAAACTATCTTACTAGTCCTTACAAAAACAACTTCCAGCCTAGATAATAAAGTATTAATTATAAGATTTTCATCTGCGCCTACCTCAAGAAATGCCACCTCATATCATTTTATTGTTCCTAAAATACCTGCAGGCGAAGAAATTGTTTTGCATACCCACAATCCTTCCACACATCCTTGCTTCATGTGGATCCCTTCCATCAGCAGCTATACAGTACAGAGATGCCGTGAACCAGTAGTTTGAAAAAATAATTCCTCTTTACATAGGGAAAAATGAACACCTAACACATATTTTCTAAAAATTTGGATGAAACTTTAAAAGTCCATTATTAATTCATGAAGCATTATGAATTTTCATTAATGGAACTATAGCAATAGTGCTAGGTAACCAAATGTTGGTTTATTTACCTCACAGCGATTGTGACCACCCAATACCCAATCCAGAATTTTCATTAATTGAACTATAGCAGTAGTGCTAGGTAACCAAATGTTGATTTATTTACCTCACAGCCAATGTGACCACCCAATACCCAATCCAGAATTTTCATTAACTGAACTATAGCAGTAGTGCTAGGTAACCAAATGTTGATTTATTTACCTCATAGCCATTGTGACCACCCAATACCCATAACGAAATATGAACAGTGAGCACTGGAATCCTACAACTATCGATGTACAATTACTTAGCAAAACATTTTATAGAAAAAATGCCATTTCACACAAACATTGGCTACTTTAACACACTGCAGTTAGAACTGCAGCACCACATATTCTCCACAGGTACATTAATTACATGCATAGACGTTGGATAAGAACCACCACAATACCATATAAAGTCTTAGCACACAGTGGCCAGCCAAATACAATGTGAAAATAATACCCTCATGGGAAGACAGAAATCAATATCTAGTAAACACAACTGAAATGATAAAACTCGAAATCTGAAACTTGAAATCTACGAAATCAACTGAAAACAGACGAGGGTGCAACAGAATTAGAGTAAATGATCCCTCACACCCTGACTCATGGCATACCTCTCGCAGACACTCACGTATCCATGGTTACAGAGTAGTGGCTGCAATTATACAAGACATTACTTAGAACAGCCAGTCAGCGCTCAGACACCACAGATATGAGGGTGTACCTTCTGTGTAAAATGACTGTCAATTTGGATGGTGATATCAACATTGTTTTGATCATAAAATAATATCTCCTGTAATTTGATTTTGCCATCTAGTGTCAATTATCCCTTATCCAAATGCATTTTCATATATGCCAGTATACTCTAAAGGATTGAATGGTGGAGGCTATACGTCTATGGTACTATGGTACAGTACCAGAGGATGATAGTAAGAGCATCGATCCGCAAGGGTACAACCTCACATCAGCCGCGTGATACGGCAACACTCCACGACCATCATAACCATCCAATGCCCATATATGGCACCTCTTACAACAAGCATGTGTGCCCAGTGACTTAAGTTAAGTTTACACCTATGTTATTCAGTTTAAAGGATCAAAATGTCAACCATTACAAATTTAGAATGATCTGAACTTGACCCATGGCCTGATCAATTCAGCTCATCAACACATCAGCTCATGATAACTGGTCAACTACTTAAGGTAAAAGGCTACAATATTTACACTAATTCAAATCAAATTCCTAGGTATTAAACTTAACTGAACTTGAATTAGTAATCACGTCTATGCCAGGGAAAGACATCTACTGGAATACAAGACACAGACAGATGAAGAGACGTACCAAACACTGGCGGGGGCTTCCCCGTCCTCCGCATCAGCAACTGCACAGACTGGCCGCCACCTTGGATGATGTCAATTGCTTCTGTGTGAGTCATGTTGTCCGTCTGGTAACTGTTGATTTCAAGAATCTGATCTCCAACCTGAAGAGCACACAAGGGAGATAACTAGTGCTAACTTGTGGCCTTGAGTCACCTTTCATATTAACATCAACATATCAGCGTTAACACAGTGTGGACATAACATATGTTTCCTGATACAGTTACTATGGGAACATCATTTATCATCAGTATCAGCTGATGAACTTGGAAGGTTTGGGGCAAATGGATGGAATAAGTTCAATATCAGTGTGAGCATTTCTTGTAAAGAGGATACAAAAATAAATAATTTTACTCTACACAACCCAAGAGCGGTAAATGCTTTAATTGATGACTTGATGTTTACAAAATATTAATTATGTTCCATTTAAATTTAAAAGTATATTTTTGTTATCATATTGTCACCATGTCAAAATGAAATCTTAAACACAAACAAATAAAATTTCAGTCTCTGCAACAACAAAGTAAAATGCAATCACAAACATATACAAAGAAATTCACGAACAAATCATTCCTTTCATTTGGGTTCTTATTCCACAATGTGCAAACTGAGATGACTACAGCCACCAATATGAAAGTTCTATTACAATGGCTGGCCTTGTGCTCTCTGAACAACAGCCCAGTGGTATGACAGAGAACCATGAATGAAGGAAAGGTGAAGGGAAATGGGGTATGAATCCTAAAATTTACTGCACTCCTATAGTGACGTGCATGCACGCATGTGTGTGTCTGCTTGCACTAGTCCAGACTTATGCCAGATTTATAGTGCTAGCCCACTGAGATACCATGCTGCAGTTTAACATAGATACCCCAATCTGATACAGTATATGGACTCCATCCTTTTTTTTATTCCCCTTATGCTGTGCGCCAGGCAGGGTAACAAGAAGTACCATTTTTTAAACGTCTTTTGGTATGACACAGCCAGGGGATCAATCAATGTCGTTCATTGTCGTGTTGATAGTGGTATGTTGTTCATAGTTGTACGTTGTTGATAGTGGTATGTTGTTCATAGCCGTATGTTGTTGACAGTGGTATGTTGTTCATAGCCGTATGTTGTTGATAGTGGTATGTTGTTGACAGTGGTATGTTGTTAATTGTCGTACGTTGTTGATAGTGGTATGTTGTTGACAGTGGTATGTTGTTCATTGTCATACGTTGTTCATAGTGGTATGTTGTTGACAGTGGTAAGTTGTTCACAGTCTATATTGTTCAAAGTGGTATGTTGTTGACAGTGGTATGTCGTTCATTGTCGTAGGTTGTTGACAGTGGTATGTTGTTCATAGCCCTATGTTGTTGATAGTGGTATGTTGTTCACAGTCGAATGTTGTTGATAGTGGTATGTTGTTCACAGTCGTATGTCATTCATAGTTATATATTGTTCATAGCCGTATGTTGTTCACAGACCAAGGACAATAATTTCATTGAATCTATGAATCAACTCAGCATCCTGGCATGGGTAAGGGCTGCAACTCTGCACAGCCCATCCGTGTCTCCATATAGCATGCTGACACACACATCAACCAGGACGCTGTCTACAGCCAGCACTCAATCAAACAGCCACGGTGCTGAGGACCTGGTTGACCCAAGGGCCTCCCAGGGACAAATATGATTGAAGAGAACAAATCTGAAGCAGCTCCTGTACTTGTGTTCTTACTCCAAACCACTCGCCATGCATCACAGAAGCACATTATCTGGGGGATAGTCAAGCCATGCTCAGCGGGCCTAGCACCATCTTGTTTGAACAATCTGGAGCTGTTGTTCATAAATCTCATAACACTTCCTGCACTTCAGTAAACAATTTACAAATGTAATTCATCACCTTTACATAGTAAGGTGTAAGGTTGTGTTTTAATAAGCTGATGACAACATGAAAATTCGACAAAAACACACCATGCCCTTCAGATTGCAAGTGAAAATAATTCTTACACCTTAAAAAACATGCATCAAAAGTGATTTTAAAGAAGCAAATCTGAGAAAAAGGATTATCCTCATGACACAAACAGACAAACAATCGGCTCTAATCCTTCTACTTAAAACCTTTCAGTTACCTACAAATAATATACAACATGCGGTGATCACCAAAATGATATGGAGTTATCTCCCTTCATACAACACACACACACACACACACACACACAAGACAGGCACTCTTTTTATTCATGACAACCAACCTCAATGTGTTCAGTGCTTATATGGGATGAATAACAGAGTTATGCCCCTTGCTCACCCGTAATCTACAATCCACATCCGCCGCCCCGCCCTCTGCGATTCTTAACACAAATAGCGGCATGTTGTTGAACTCGCGGCCCCCACGTATGGAGAAACCAAAACCTCTCGACCCCCGATGCAGTTCCACATTGTACAGTTCTCCTTCCTCAGGCTCCTGGGAAAAAACACACGGATTCAGACATAAAGCTTCCTTACAAGCTGCAGCAGTTGGTGGGAGGCTCTCGCATATATCACCTTTCTTAATCAGTGTCTAAATATCAAATATTTCCTACTTGTTTTATCTTATCCTGCATATACCTGACTGTGAATATGTGTTTACTGTATTTCTTAAACTAAGTAACCTATCCCTTTAGCACCAAAAAGACCTATTCCATAGCAGTGTAGGCACCAAGTCACCAAAATGCTTGTAAAATATCAAAAGCCTATGTTGTGATGCTTCTGGGTGATAATTAGGTTGAATACGGTACATGTAATTGACAAATAATTGAGTGAAATCAGCAAAGTCGTAAGTATCGGTAATTGTTCTGCCCGTCTTGTCGACATAAGGCTTCATGCGAGCCACACAGTAATCTGACTGTCTTTTGTACAAGTTCCTCAGACTGTTATACTCAAAATAAGGAATTATAAAGATTTAAAAGAGATGAAGAAAAATGTGAAAGAACTCCACAGAAGATATTTTGTAAGTATTGCATAAAGCGGCCTCGTGATACGGAGACTACACGATGCACACAACCACACACTTGACTACGACTGGAAGAGAGACTCAGGCAGGTGTGACTGTGCAGTAGACGAAGGTGGTACTCACGTGATGGTTCTGGACGCGAGATCGAGACAAGTCTTTGGGTTTCTCAGCTGTCGGGGGAGGAAACCTGTGGAAGAAGAAAATGTTTAGAAATGATAATAAAATTACTTCTTGATAATTGTTCTTAATAAAGGTGTTCAGTGTGTTTGGTTGAATGGTCACTTTCATCTTCCTGAGTCAAGGGCATTAACTGACTATAAAAGTCCAGTTTCCACCCTTGACAAACTAGGCTGGAAATCCGGAGTTATAACGCTGATAATAAAATTACTTCTTGATATTTGTTCTTAATAAAGGTGTTCAGTGTGTTTGGTTGAACAGTCTAATTGAGCAATAACCCAGTCTGTCAGCTTAATGAAGCCTTGATGCTGATTGGCCGAGTTCAACTGACTAACCTGCTATAGAAGGGTAGTTAAATCTTCATGCAGAGAGTAATCATATCGGATCTGACTTTAATGAGATGCATTTTCACCATAGTTTCAGGATCTATACTGGGGGTTTCAACACCTAAACATTTTCACCAGTTGGTCATCTTAGCTCAAGAAGCACAGTCTCTTACATTGGCAAAGAAAATTTACACGTCTCCAGTTAAAGAAATATTTTCTTCTTAAAATATTTTTCAAACTTAAAAAGCAATGTGATATATTAACGCACACTTTTACCTTAACAGTCACCAAACCCTTAAGCTATACATCCCTACAGGAGATGTGTGGTTTAATACAGGTGACTTGTGGTAAAATTGATGACCAGTACAACAGATAGCCTACCTGTCCCATGTCTGGTGGTGTGGAGAGACGTCTGGCCTTCGACTGATCTCGTTCTCCCCCACAGCCGGATACGCCATGGCGTTCACCATTGAGCCCTGGGAGCTCTGCAGACAACAGAATGGTTCAATCATGTTGTCACTTGTGCAATACAAACACAGGTATACTAACAGCCTTGAAAATACGTTCATAATATCTACCAGGAATCTACCGAGACCTCAGAGGCCAATATTTAGCCCCTGGTCTGAAGCAAATGTCAGTAAAAATGTCCAGTTCATGTTGACATAGTTCTAACTAATGTTAGAGGTGACATTCAATCAAGGCAGGACCAATAAAGACGAGGAAGAGACTATCATGCTTAGTTTTACATTTTTGCACTGCATGAAAAATGTTTACCTTTAAATTTAAGAAAATAATATCTTTGAACAAAAATAAAATTGAACAATATAATGATTTTTCCACTTTGCCTGCCAAGGACACTAAGGAATCCCTGATCTGTATTCACTGACAAAGAATGATGGCATCTTTCATCAAACTTGTTAATACACAACGTACTTTAAAGAAAGTTCAATCTTATTCTTATAATAAACATAATAGAAATATTACCTTTCTTATTAAAAGTAAAATTGACCACTATTTGACGAGTTATTGCATGTACTTACTCTCTGTGATGTACTGGCTGTGCTTGAGTTGTCATCTGTAACCATACAACCACATACAATGTACTGCCAGTTCATGTTGTACCCTGGTACAGTTATGGACAATAACACAGAGCTACCAGTACATTGCAAGAAACAAAAACAATCACAGAAGATCTCTGGTTAAATGGATTAATATAACCACAAAAAATCATTCCTAGCAATGATAGATTAACTGAAGTAATATGAAACGAGTCATCAGATGACATATCCCCCCGGTCTGGTGCAACTTGGAAATGGAGTTTGGCTACCTATACCCTACTTTTGGTTCATTGCCATTAGATACCTTCAGTTCAGTAAAGAAAACATAACGCTGTTCAGAATTTTTCAAATGTCCAACTTGTCATGGGGGAAAAAAATAATTGTTTTCTTCAAAATCCTAAATCCCAATCTTCTGAAGTCAACCCTTATGTCAAAGCATAGGGTACTGGGATTTATCCTGTCCAAGAATCCCCACAGGGAGACAAGCTTGGGGTACCAGGATCTATCCTGTCCCAGAATCCCCACAGGGAGACAAGCATGGGGTACCAGGATCTATCCTGTCCCAGTATCCCCACAGGGAGACAAGCATGGGGTACCAGGATCTATCCTGTCCCAGTATCCCCTTAGGGAGACAAGCTTGGGGTACCAGGATCTATCCTGTCCCAGAATCCCCACAGGGAGACAAGCATGGGGTACCAGGATTTATCCTGTCCCAGAATCCCCACAGGGAGACAAGCATGGGGTACCAGGATCTATCCTGTCCCAGAATCCCCACAGGGAGACAAGCATGGCCTACCAGGATTTATCCTGTCCCAGTATCCCCACAGGGAGACAAGCATGGGGTACCAGGATCTATCCTGTCCCAGAATCCCCACAGGGAGACAAGCATGGCCTACCATGATTTATCCTGTCCCAGTATCCCCACAGGGAGACAAGCATGGCCTACCAGGGTTTATCCTGCCCCTGAATTCCCACAGGGAGACAAGCATGGCTACCAGGATCTATCCTGACCCCAAATCTCCACAGGAAGACAAGCATGGGGTACCAGGATCTATCCTGCACCAGAATCCCCACAGGGAGACAAGCATGGGCTACCAGGATTATTCCTGACCCAGTATCCCCACAGGAAGACAAGCATGGGGTACTGGCGATCTATCCTGCACCAGAATCTCCACAGGAAGACAAGCATAGGCTACCAGGATTATTCCTGACCCAGTATCCCCACAGGGAGACAAGCATGGGGTACCAGGTTCTATTGGACATGCAGATAAATAAACCCACCAACCTGAAGCCTTACCCGGTGGTGGACCAATGGACAAATTAACTGAGTAGCCTGAATCCCGGATGAGGTTGACGATGTCTTCATGGTGCATGTTTGTGATGTCGTTGTTGTTGACGGCAAGGATGCGATCACCGACATGTAATCTGCCGCATCGCTCAGCTGGACTGTTATCTAATATGCGACCTGTAAATCCAAAGACACAAGTCAAACATGCATTTCTTCCAGATCTGGTAGACTTCTGACAAGTACATCTCAGAATGATTCTTTCTTTCCAGAATAGTTTCCAAATAAATCAGCATCCCAGCTAGACAATGTTACACGAGATGTATTTGTCAGATGAAGTGTGAGTGCAGTAGTTGATGAAGCAAGACGGTGAATCGATGCTGAATTAATAAGCTCGCAATCAATGGACAGTTAGATTATCAGTAGAGGTTAACATGTCTTAGAACTAAATTAGTTGTCAAGAAAGCCATATGCAATTAATACGGGAAAACTGTTAATCTAGAAGGAGATACAGATATACTTTGAACATGTCTTAAGCTGAAAAGTAAAATGGTTCTAATTTCTCAACATGAAACACAGCAATACCAGCACCTGTACATGAGCATGCCAATTTTGTTAGTTTTATCTCGGTCAAATTGTTTTGGATCAAGGTTTATGAACTTGCAAGCATATACAACTTAGCATACAACTAGTTCAAACCTAAAAGGAATAGACACATATGTGTAAAATGAGGAAACACAAGAAAATCATATTTTCCGGAAACATGACCAACACAATCATGCTGATGCATGAGACGTGAAATAAAGGTGAACTCACAGAAACACACAGATAAACAACTGGATAAACAACTGGAAGGAACAAACGGATAAACAACTGAATGGCACACACAGACAAACCCATGTTGTCAGACGGTTGGGGACTGATGGTTGGGATGAGTGGATGGTGCAAATGGTTGAAGGGGGTCCCGGACGCAGGGTTATTGTCACAGTATTTGAATCTAGGAAACCACTTGCTGTCTAATGTCAAACTGTAAGTTGATAGTGGACACTATACATGTGGTGATAACATTTCAGCCCATTATGCTAATCTGTGATTGTGTGAGGGTACTGGATAATTCAGCAATATTTCAGCAAAATTTCAGCCTGATAGTAGAGTATTGGTAGTCTTAGGTCAATGTTAAACAGTACAGTTATGATAGTCGTAGCACAACTAATGTCCTATGGATTAAAACCCAGGGCCCAGTTTCACAAAGCAATACTACTGTAATGCCTATTCCTTAACATAGACTTACGAAAGGCGTAGCTACGACCGCTTTGTGATATTGTAGCTCAGTTTTATATATGAACCCAGCTGGTGTTTTTTTTACCAAGTGTAGATTTTAAACCGAGAAAGGTAAAACAATATAATGCCTCTAGTTTACTTGGTTCTTGTTGCTAAACTATAAGAATGAAATCCATGATCCACAGCAAAGGTAGTGTGTAGACTGAGAGGGATTTTATTGTATTATACAGATTCAAACATTTGGGAGTGATATAGCTGTGTCGAATACTGACGAGCGATCATTCACAGCAAACCCATTGGGGATAGAAACCCAGGCCACGCTGACACTGACAAACTGGGCCACCCCTGCTCCATAACTGCTAACCATCCACCAATCCCAAATGTAAGGAAGGGGAGACAACTGTGTATGTACTAAGTGCTGGCACTGTGTGCATTCTTGTGAAAACCGGTGACTTTGGAAAGTAGCGTGACAGTGAAGAAACTAGTGTAACTTGTAAATATTATCATATTCTTAAACTTATAAACTTCAAAGTTTAATGCACATAAGAATTTAAGTTTTTACTTAATCTTAGATTAAAACTGTTTGTATGTTTTTTAAGGCCAACTCCGCAATATTCCAGCTATATGACTGTGGCCTGTAAATAATCAAGTCTGGACCAGACACTTTAGAGTTAAAAATCATGCCGACATTTAGTAAGTAAAACATACGCTATTACGTTATAAAGTAAAACATGATCTACGCATGCAGACCTCACTATACTGTCGGAATCATTACTCATGAGCATGCGGACACGCCAAGTAACTGACACACGGACAAATCCACGGACTCCATATTACACAAGGTACAAACGGTTCATGTTCACTTCAAGATGAAATTCTTCTAATTCATAGAAAGGTTAACATCGTAACAGAGGTACACGGACCCCGTGAAATTATTGTCAGTAATTTTCACTGATCATTACCATTCTTGCTTCATGCTGATTGGCTAGTTTGTTCCAACTGTTTGTTGTTTTCATTGTTTGCGAAGAGTACCATAGCAACGGGAAGTTATATGAAAGTCTCAAACAACTGAAGGTCAAGTCATTCATTTTTCATTATTTCCCAAAAGATGTCTGAGCTGATATCTCAATTGAAGTTCAGGAAAGACCCATTTTTTAACAATTTCTCAGATAGAAAATACTTTGGGTAATATAATGAATAATCTACTCTGAACTAAGAAACTACAAAACATCCGTCATACTAGAATTAATGTTAAAAATTCCTTGCCAAACTTTGGAACTTGCAAAATGAAATCACTCGTGACTGGAACATATAATCCGTAATTCCTTGAAGCTTGTATCTCTTGTTTACATATTAGTCTGGGGTTGACTTTTAAATCTGTAATATTTCCTGCTAATATGCATCAGGTTATGGCCGAAAGTTTGCACTGTGCTGTCAAATAGCCATAGTGCTCTTAAATCTCAGAGAAGCAGTGCAGGGATAGAAAGGTCAAGGTCAAGGTCAAGGTCAAATAGGCACACATCACACTCCTAAAGATGTTTTGGAATCAAACAGTGCCCACTGAGTGAATGTAATTTCACCATGGCTATACAATAATAAGGTGTAATTTAGAATGTTTGCCACTTTCATTTTCATTTTGATTAATAATCTTTCTAATTTCTGAATCCCAAAATATATTCTGTGACTTATACTACAGACCAAGCATAGCCATATGTTAACAATTTTCCATGTCTTTGTCACATTTACATGTGCCAAAGTACATCATCACTTGCTTTTTAAAATACATTGTCACAGGGGTTTCATTATTCCCCGTGTGGCCATCAGGCACTTATTTATCCATACCATTACCATTTTAACCATGCCGTAGGCACTAAAATACAAGTAATTTGAAGCCCTGCAGTGCTTGGTACACTACTCCACCATGCATTCAGGTACTCCTCACAGCCAGCGATAGCTACACTGAAGTATGAAGTGAACACGGACAGCGATGTTAAACACGACGACTCGTGGTTCGAACACAAGGTGAGTGGGCGGTTGACAATATCGATCTCACCGATCCACGGAACACGCGGCTTGGACTTTTCTACCGATTCACTTGACGCGTCAGCATCCCCCTTGTCTGAAATTGTCAAGTCAGCACTTGCCATTGTTGGTTGGATTCTACGTCACTCAATCACGCCAGCCTTGTCTGGAGCCCTGCTTGATCATCAGGGGGCATATGGGGTTCCAGACATATCTCAGACATGGAACTGCAGCCTGACCACCAGTGGAAGTGAGTGAGTCGGGTTTTACCATGTTTTATTCTAGTAATATCTTGATGTGACACAACAGGAATGGGCTACCCAAGAAGGGAATAGAACCCAGATCTGGGCTAGCCCACTCCCCTACCAATGGTGTGATCAACACATAACCACCTAACTGTCCATTCTCTACTGCCATTTTGGCCAACCAATCCCCACCATAGCCGCCTCTCAAAACAAGCCTGGGGGTGACTCTACTCTGAGGTTCTTTCTTGTACTTAAGACTTTAATTTATGAATTTACTTATTTTATCTTCTGTGGTGATAAATTATTTATTTAATGAATATTGTTTTGTTGTTTTTATTGTATTAGTGATCTACATGCAACTCCTAGTATCACACACACAAACATGTTAGATACAGTTAGATCAACACAGTCTAGCTAGTACATAAGCATATGATTTGATAGAGATAGATAGATAGAGAAGGGTTCTAGTATAGGTGTATAAATATCAAGCAGAGCGATATTCTAAGAGGTTGCAACACTGTGCATAGAATGCAAAGACAAATCAATGGACAGAGTAATTGCTAAGTAAGCAAGTCGTCAAACATTAACTGCCGAACCAAAACACTAATAAACAATGATGCAAAAAATAAATGATTGTGTCCATTCCTTAAAATGTAATGAAAAAACATGATTGGTCTTTGAATTTTTTACAACACTGCACACTTTGTAGAACACCTGTTGGGTCTGATCCACCAGTGTTCATTTCAAACCTCAGCTGATTCTACCAATGTAGAATTAGTCATGCTGTAAGTAGTATTAGTCCCACCGATACTTCACATAATGCATTGCAACAGGAAATGAAGTCATCCATATCACAGTAATACAACCCTCAATAACATGATGGAGAGTTCAAAGGGTTAATTTCAAACCGATCAATTTATTCAAACGGTAAACGGAGGTGTGGGTTAATTTCCAATTTTCATCAATCTATGTCGTGGGTGTGAAGTATCCGTGTTGACCCTGCAAGATGGCATGCTCTGTGCAACCAAGGCACCCATGCATTACATGCCCTTCGTCTTATACATTCATTACCGGCTCTGTGGAAAGTCTGGCGGCTGTGGTGAAACTTGGGAATAACTGGAAGGGTGGGTTTTGTATTGATTTGTGTCTTCGTAAGCAAAAGCATAATATCCTTTTCAGAAATCAATGTCATAATAATGATAATGAAGAAAATCTATATAATTATTATAGAACGTGCCCCCCAGGGTTCACTATTCTGTTGACACCCAATCTGTATTATTATTGTAGAATGTGCCCTAGATGGGTTGATGACTCTGTTGACCGAAAATTTGCAGTTATCGTTAAAATAAACAGGCATTAATATACACTGATTGTATGGAGATTTGTCTTTATGATTCAAAGGAAAAGATAAATAAATTCCATTGGTCTGATGGATGTGTTCCTGCAACTCAGAGCAGGGTTGTCATCAAGTAAACCAAGACATCCATCATGATGTCAATGATACATGTAAACCAGCTGTCATGAACAGTTTGTAGTTTGTCAGATAGATAGGAGAGACTCATTAACCATCAAGTACGTTTCATCTTATCATCGCAGTGAATACAGCCAAACACTCAGCCCTAATCAGTGGATACTCAACCCCAACTATGGATTCTAAAATACTCAACCCCAGTCAGTGGAGTTTTAAATATTCAACCCCAATCAGCATCTATGGCTACTTACAGTGTACCCAACCCCACACAGTAGCTACCCCTAAATACCCAACCCCACACAGTAGCTACCCTTAAATACCCAACCCCACACAGTCGCTACCCTTAAATACCCAACCCCACACAGTAGCTACCCCTTAATACCCAACCACACAGTAGCTACCTCTAAATACCCAACCCCACTCAGTAGCTTCCTTCAAATACCCAACCCTCAATAGCTACCCCAAAATACACAACCCTTACACTGTAGTAACCACCAAATACCCAACCCAAGAACCCTAAGATTCAGATAGCAAACATCACAAATTGTGAAGTGATTGCATCACTAACATCAGTCTCCCATTACAATAAACATATCACTGCCTTATCACCTTGTCTTAGATGACATGGCGCCATTAGGCAATACGGTCTGACAAGTACCCTGGGTATCGTGGTATATGTTGAATCACAAACCCCTCCAGGTCAAAATAGTTCCAGCTTTGCCAGTCAAGAACTAGCCCTCTAAGTAGGTTTTCTGATTGTTCCGAGAGAAGAATTCCATCTGATCGGCTAGCATACTATGGCTACCTGCCAGTATGGGCTTCTAGTCAGGTCATGCCTCCGTGTTGGATTTTCTCGTTAATATAGCGGGTAAGTGTCAGATACAATTGATAATGGTTTGTTTTCTTGTAGCAATAGATCATTGGATAATGGAGACAACTGTTGGCAATTTCAGGCTATGTGTGAACAAAGAAGTACAACGATTTTTACAAGACCAGAGTCAGTTTAGAATGACTGTGAAAGATATTTTTTACATAATCTTCTTGAGTTGTGTTTGATATTTAAAAAAATATGTTTAATTCAAAAACAGACATGTCTTGTATGGTCAACAGAGCTGTTAATATATTAGAGAGGAATATTGATGATTTTCTCAGAGAACATTCTTCTTTGTCATTACCTATTATGAAAATAGTCTTCAGAACATTTTGGTATCGATCAGTCAATGGCCTAGAACAAGAATTAATAAGAAGTCCTACCTTCACGAGGTACTTAGGCAATGTTTTTTTAAAATATAGTGCGGGCCCCCTACATAAATGTATTCCTTGATGAGTAAAAATACTTCGAACATTTTTTGTTTTTTCCCGTTAAAAATGGAAATAAAAACGAAACATGCTGCAAACTTAATGATGATGCGGGCAGTGCCTGAGAACCAAGACTATTGTTTTTTTGGCCTAACTTAGGGATATTTAACATTAGATCACAAGTTACAGATAATGGATTCAATTTTAACAAATTTCTGTCCATTCTGAAAGTATTAAACCTAACACAGACTGCTAAGAGGGAAATGTCAGTATGTTCATCAACAGGGTCGTCAATGTTTTCTGTGCCAGGTGGAGACCTGCCATTCAGCCGCCAGTTTTCCATGAGCGCTCACCAAATCATTCAAGAGGAAGAAAAATGAGGACCTCGTCCCGGCGACACGTACCAATGAACTCACCTATGGTGGTCCCCGCCTTCGTCACAGAGGATATAATTACAAACCCAAAACCTTCCCGTTCTTTGCGGGTGACGGTCACGTCATACGGGAATGACTGGGATGACGTGTTAGCATTCGTCTGAGATACATCTAGATCAGAAATTACAATGGCCCCTTCAGTTTACTCATCTCATTACTCGAAACGTGTAGAGTCAATTCCCATTATCTCGAGTGAGACTGATCAATGATAAATGGTTGAGATAAGAGGTTTTGAGATAGAGGAGTGATATAACTAGGTGAAGTCTAGATCAGAGCCCTGTTCCACAAAGCAATCTTAGCACTAAGACGATCATAACCCTTAACATTATCTAACCCATTCTTTAACAATGCCTCATGGACATCGTAGCGCTAATATTGCTTCGTGGTACTGCGCCCAGGTCATTTGCGATAGCCAGTAATTTGAGATAAACATTCGAGATAATGAGCATCGACAGTGTAGTCAACAGATATATGAATGATAATAAATGAATGACAAAAAAATATTTGCACATGAATAAAAGTCGATTAAGAGAGTTTGTTATATGACACATAATAAATATATCAGCTTAACCATACTACTTGAAATTCATCAATCAAATCAGTACTAATAAATCTTTTATAGCCTTTGAACATATATTAAGTGTTAAAAAAATATAATAATTTATTTTTAGCTGAGAAAATGGACAAATACTGCTATGTAAGAGTGAGATTATTGTAAGAAATGTTACAGAGAGCATGTTAAGACTGTCATGTAATATATCAGAAACAGAGAAGAAGGAACTTTTGTTCATCTGTAAATTAAGCACCTGCTCAACCCAGAAGCGACAGTAAGCATCTTCTGGCAAAGCGATAGCAGAAGAAAAGCAGTTACTCTTTAACCCTTGGCCGTGTTAAAGATGACATTTTATTATTTTTTCCAGAGAAAAAATGACAGATTAAACTACAGAGAAAACATTTTGAGTTAGGATCTCAAAATTTACCATTTTCTGCTAAAAATACAACATAATAATCACACAATTTTTGAATAAAACAATTTTCTGACGATTTTTCTCAAATCAATCCCATTCAAATACTATTTTCCAGAAACAGCCACAGTTCTTACCAAGCTGTGGATGACCCTTACGAGTGACCCCGTGCTTCACATACCTGGAAATGAGGTCATCCTCCGCCTAATGCCCAGAGTTACCCGCCCATTGAGGGAGGAGGCGCCCATGAGCTGCACGACTCGATGATGCGAGGAGTTGATGACGGAGTTGTTGTCTACGAATGTAATCTCATCTCCAGTGCGAACTCTGCCGTCCAAGTCTGCGGAACCACCGGGGACTATGTGCCCGACTGAGACCTTCAAACAGTGGAAGACAAAATAATTGTACAATTTATCATAATCATAATTATTTTAGTAATTACCTCGATATCTTTTGTATTTATAGGAGTATAAACGTATGAAATGGTGTGCACACTCTGAAAATATGCAGTTTTTATGTTTATAGCTCCACAAACACACAAAATATATGACCGCGAAACTGACATTAATAACTGTATGAATGACACAATTTGATGTTCATATGTTTTTCACGAGACTGTGGGCATGGACTAATATTTTTCCGTTTATGGAAGCATAAACGGAAAACTAATTACTTGGTTAGCCAATCAAAAGAATTGCAATTTATTGATAATCCTACAACATCCTCCTCTCTCTCACTTGTCCCTTCTTAGTCTTTAAAAAATAAGAGACAAATCGGATCCTGATTCAGTTGATACAATGCAAAGCAATCACTTTAGAATCTACGAGGTGTTATGATAAAACCGATACATAAGTAATCTAAAAATTATCTGCCAGACAGTCGGGCAGATGGAGGAACATTTCATGCAGCCCAACAGAAAAGTTACCAGCCACGGGCAGGTGGGCAGGCAGTTATTTCGGACACTGATCATTCTTGCATTAGTAACCGGCTATTCCATGTTCAATGCCATCACATTCAACACGTGACCCAACCACCTATTGCATCAACTGGGCTTCAACACAAAAACTCCCCCCAAGTAGAAATATTATCTGAAACAAATCCCAGCCAGGTGATGCACATCGTCTGCAACTTCATCCGCAACTGTCTCACACAGTGATGTTGCCCACAACCTACTTGCAGCAATCAAGTGTAAACATATCCATCACTTATCTATACATGTATCTGTATACTAATTATAAATTATTTCACTACAAGGAATAATTTGTTTCTTGATGCACAAGGGTAACCAAGGGCCGTAACTCACACCTGATCTCTAGTCATCTGGAGCATTCATTAACGCGGCAACAAATGACTCTATTTAATCGTGTGATGCATACTCTCCAGTATCTACCAACACCCAGCTCCGATGACGTTCACGCCATACGAAGTACTTCCTGATTACTCCTCCAGGTGGCGCCACTTCCAACATCATCACCCAAGTCCTGGTAGCACCCTTTAAACTCAACCCAATATCCACACCTAAGTTATTGTTTCAGTCTTTTGCTCCAGGAAGATTAACCTTTGTCACTTTAGCATATTTCTTGGAGATAAGGTGTCAAATGATCTCAACTCAGTTAGGAAGTCAATGGTCTAGAAATGATTTAGGAAGATAGAAAACCAATTACTGATCCTAAACACAACTTGCATGACACACTCCAACTGCTGTTACACCGACGCAGCACAGTGTGGAGCCACGGAAAGAGATCACATTTGAAATAACTTGCACTCAACAGCGTGAAGACTTAAGTACAAAAACACAGGAGAAAGTTGAACTAAAATACATTAGCTTCAAACTAGAGTTGAGTTAAAACTAGACAAGAAGCAAAAGTGGTGGCGTTGAAATCCTTATTACCCAAATTAAAATGTAGACAAACTATATTTTCCACTTTTTCCTCTTCAGTGTAAAACATGCATAAGCAGATTCATATGAAATATCTTACTCAACAAGGGATCATGAAACATTTCACAGTGTAACGTTTTGTTTGTTTGTTGTTTAACACCACTCTCAGCAATATTCCAGCTATATGAAGAGGTCTGTAAATAATCAAGTCTTCACCAGACGATCCGGTGATTGACATCGTGAGCATCGATCCACGCAATTGGGATCAATTACATGCATCAACCAAGTCAGCAGGCCTGACCACCCGATCTTGTTAGTCCCCTCTAACGACAAGCATAGATGCCTTTTACAGCAAGCATGGGTTGCTGAAGCCGTGTTCTAACCCGGATCTTCACGGGTTCATACTGTTACGTAACTGGTTCAACAAAGTGTTTATGTTTAATCAACTTGCAGTGAAGATGCAATGCTTCACTTCCATGGCAAATATCAAATACTATTTGTATAACAACAAATCCAAGCAATCAGCACATTCAGACCCACCTGGATACCAACTATCCCTAGCAAAACTTGAGTAGTATTTATTCAAAGTACAAAAGTGGCAAAAAGTGAGTTACTAGTCGAGACATACATGTCATTCATCTTGAATCTATCTTGTGAACGAACAGTTAGAAATAGTCTAAATGAAGACCTTTTTCCCCAACTTTTTTTTCATGAGTGCATTGGAAGATTTGTCGGCGCCTAATGAAGGTAAGGGATATTGCTTGTATTACATCTCCACAACTAGTTGCATCTGTTCCCAGAGCGCCGTATGGCTGCGATGTTCACAGTCTGTTACCTTCTGGATGTGTAACGCTCGTTTAACATCAAGCCGAGATATATTGAAAGATATCGCACCTCATGTGCAGTGATATGATCCTCAGAGATCAAAAGTCAGGCTAAATGGTTTATTTTCTTCACTTGTATAAAAACTAGCATATGGCATAGACAGGTATGCACTGTATGACAAAGGTGATTACACCATATAAGTTCATAGATAACTCTGTACTGATGATCCAGGCCTGGTTGATGCTAGTCCTACATGTTTTGTGAGTGAGTGAGTGAGTGAGTGAGTGAGTGAGTGAGTGAGCGAGCGAGCGCCACTTATACCAGACATGCTGTAGTGAGGGGACACCAAGGTCAATGCCTTCTGCCAGTTTTCTAATCCCCCAGGGTGGTTATTACGATGAATATGCTACTTCAACTACATCGCTATGTGACAGCTTATTGTGGGAGAAAAGCCTGCATTGACTTAGGCCTGAGATGTGTATCTCTTTAGCTGAAACCCATGAGTGAAACCCACCAGTGAAACCCACAACTGAAACCTGCAAGTGTCTTTACAGAGCTGATGGACGATGGATCATCAAAGTAAATCAGGAAAAAGAGTGAGTGAGTGAGTGATTATGGTTTACTCTGGTTTAGCAATATTCCAGCAATATCATGGCCAGGGTCACCAGAAATGGGCTTCACACATTGTACCAATGTGGGGAATCGAGCCCGGGTCTTCGGCGTGATGAGCGAACGCTTTAACCACTAGGCTACCGACCGCCCCAGGTATTAGAACACATCAGCAGATCCTGGCACAGCTTAAGTATGTAACTGTGCCCAGCAGGTTGTGGCATCATATTCAACTGTACAACAGTAATTCTCCACATCACAAAGACAAATGGCAAGGTCACATCTGCCAGTGTCACAAAGCCAAGGACTATCAGAACTGAATCTGCCATTGTGACCAACAGATCCTTACTTTACTCCACTCACGCAGCAATCATCAGGTGTTGGAAATTAATATTTTCTGTCCAAACTCTCACACTGAATGCTGCAGAATGTCAGTAAATATAGAAGTCTGATCCAAAGAAACAAGTGACTCACAACAAGAACATCTGTTGACAACCTTGGGGTGCAATGACAAACAGTCAAATCACAAAGTCTGACCAACCTTTCCTCTTTAATCAGCTATTATGACATAGTAAGGTACTTTTTACCTACCCCACACCTTCAGGAGGAACTTGATTAACCGAGCCCAACTGTCAGTTATTTCAGTGCTTTTCTCCTCGTTAATAATTCTACTTTGCCTACATTTGCAGAGGGAGGAGGCAGGGAGGAGAAACAATGGCAGGGAATTAATGGCCATTCAACAATCCCAGCAATGCAGCAGCCATTTCAATTTCAGTAAATTTAGAAACATGTCAATCTATTACTGCCAAGGCCATAAACACTGGCAGGCTATTTGTCTCTCTCAAGTCAACCTCCCTCAAGAATCACTGGAATTTAACTTTCTTTGTTATAGCCTTGAAAACAGAACATTTCAAGATTTCAACAGAGAGCATATTGATATAAATAACATTTGTTTATACAAATCTGTTTCACGATCCTTTACTTTAAAAAATGGCAACACTGCAGCTTCCTGTGCTGCTTATAATAGCTACTTAGATCAGTCTGCCACATGTGGACCCCGCCTCACAGATCTTGCTGCTCCTTTGATCCCTAGGGTTAGTTGTGCAGTGGGGTTAGGGGAGGTTACCCCTAACTCTATCCTAAGCCTTTGAATCCCCTTTCCAATCAAGCAACCCTTTCCCATCAAGCACCCTTGACGATTATTAGGGTTAGGTACCCTTTCCGATCAAACACCCCTTCCATTTCCTCAGGATTAGGCACACTTGCCAGTCAAACACCCCTTCATGATCCTTAGGGTTAGCTATGTTAGGGTTAGGGTTGGATACCCACCCACTCTATCCTAAGCCCTTGCATCCTTAGGGCTGGGCACCTTTTACAATCATTACAGTAAGTTGTGCGGCAGGATTGGGCTAGGTATCTCTTCAAAAACTAATCAAATGTAATTTGAGGAATAATCAATAATTTTTTATAAAGTTTCGAGTTTCGGGGAGAAAATGACTACTGTGCATGCACATAAAGACAAACAATCAGGAGCTGATCACTTGGTAGACATGCACCAATTCTTTGTGATAGCACCCGTGATCCCATGGACTTCTCATTCAGCACAGCTTGGGAGCAAGGCTAGATATGGATGTTCAGTTCAAGATATGAACTCAACACTATAGATTCCATTTCCTCGAGTTATTCCAAAAATATAGGGCTACAATATATTGCCTGTCGGTATGGGAGACGCCATAACATTTACTGGTAGGGCCTGGTATATTTTGACAGTTAGGGATTTAGATCTGTATAGCAGGCTCCATCAGCCCTGTATGCTACGAGCCGTATACATCATCTCTACTGCTTACATAGTGTCAGAATGTAGTGTTTCATACACTTCCTTGAGCTTACAGAGATTGTATTTCTTGGTTACCATATGGTTTAGCAACTGTGTTGGAAATAAACACTGATATCTTTTCAGCAGTGAGTTTAACCCCACCCCCCTACCCCAAACTTGATCCAAAGATCTGGGTCCCGTTCCACAAAGTGATCTCAGCACTATGATTGTCGTAGGTTAGTGTTAAAGAATGGGTGCGACGATTGACTTAGCCCTAAGATCAATTTGTGGAATGGGGCCCTGTATTATACACAAGAAAATAAAGGCTGTGTTGTAAATTGTCTAACTTCGTCCAGAGCGCATATAAAGATTACGTGCATATTGGTGTAGAAGATGGTCACTGTTATACATAGAAACAGGATGTGATACAGAGCAATATACAGGATATATACAGGGTGTGTTTTCATATTGCCTACCCTTCAGTTCTGAACATACCGCCCTGGATTGTTAAAACCAATTCATCATGCAAGAATAGCTATGCCCTTTGTGGGAATAAGCATTGAACAGCTACAAGGCAATGAATTATAGGCAGTCAAGGCACACATTATTTCCTTTACAACTGTTTTCCAGAATGTCATTTATTTCAACTTGAACATTCCTGCTTCATGTGAACTAGCTGTCTTGACTGTAAACTCTTGTGTAGACTTGTTCAAGTCTCTAAGGCAATAATTAATAGTTTAAATCATAATTTTAAGATTATATAAATAATAAGAACAAGTTGTCCCTATAAGAGACTGGTGTACTTAGAATGTCCACATATTTAGACTTGCCTATTAGGAAGATAGAATTTCTACACATCCATGGATTTATCTTTCAGTAGAGCCTTGGGGCAAGGCTAACTCTAGTGCTATGTACAAGTTTGCTTAACCCATGTTGGGTTACCATTGTGTTACAAAACATATCAACCATTTCAATTTAGAACTGAACAGGCAGCATGAGATTTCCAATGTTAAATGACCAATCAGAATGAAGTAATTTCAAAAGTCATGGTAGTATACTTGTTTGAAACCTCTTAAAACAAGTAATAATTGACAATGCTTAAATCAACTAAATAAGAGACATTAGTCAGCGGGTCAGACCCCTGATGCATTTAGCCACCTCTTGTGACCAACATAGGTTGCTGGGGACCTATCCTAGCCCACAATCCCGAGGCGCCCACAGCATTGTGTCACAGACACCATGACATTACAGGCTGAGATATGACGAATATCAGTTACCTGATTTTGTATTACTTACATTCATCTGTCAAGTTCATCTGTTATTGTTACTGACACTGTTGAACGAGTTACGTAACAGTATGAACCCCTGAAGATCTGGGGTAAATAGGTCTTCACCAACCCATGCTTGCCGTAAAAGGCGACTAACGAGATTGGGTGGTCAGACTTGCTGACTTGGTTGATGCATGTCATCGATCCCAATTGCATGTATTGATGCTCATGATATCAATCACTGGATTGTCTAGTCCAGACTCATTTATCTACAGACCACCATCATATAGCTGGAATATTGCTGAATGCGGTGTTAAACAACAAACAAACAATGTTATTGTTACTAGGGCTGGGATGGGTAATTCGGGTACTTGGGTCAGGTGGGTCCTGAGTAGGACCCGGGTACCAACAGGACTACCCATGGTTAGTCACGTGATATATTGTTTAATCACAAAAACTCACTTTAGCTCAGTGGTTACACTACAAGTCGCTTCCGTTCGCATTTATTTCTGATCCTGTACACATTCCTTTTGACGTGTATATGTTTGAGTAAAGATATAGCTTCAGTCAACTTCAGTGTATGCATGATCTGATCATTTGACACATATATCTAAATTGTTTTTCCAAGGGCTGCAGTAAAACAATTCCCAATTAGACATTTTGTACCCACCTACAGTGAGGTAACCGGGTAGGGTCAGCCAATAGGGGGGTCGGGAACCTGAGTAATAAATTTCGACTCGTCCCAGCCCTAACTGCTACTTATAGTCCAGGTACCACAATGTTGCAATCGGAAGCACGCCTTTCTAAAACTACCTGCGAACAGACCATGGATAGGGAAATACATTCCACCGAAAAAATCCCAGCACTGCCTTTCAAAAACTGCCTGTAAAAGTATCTTCCCTGTGATGCGCTTCCTCGAGTTTGAGGCATTTTAACACAGACTCGTCCCTAGGAGCATACAAGTCTTGGTGGAGATTTAGGTAACATAATCTGTTCAAATGAATGAACAACCAGATTGCAGGCAAAGGTCTTTGAAGCCAAATAAATACCTCCTTCACATTCAAAGTCTAATTGCACTTTTATCAACACCTGTTCATTCAATGAGATGCTAGCTTTAGTGATAGCCCTAATCTATGCTTCAATCACTTGAATACCATGAATGTTATCCTGCGAAACTCACAAACACTAATCTGTACTTCAATCACTCCAATACTGTGAATGTTATCTGAAGAAACTCAGACAGATAGTATTTGAAACCAAAGGGAGTTGTATGTTTGCACTGGGTTCTGTTAGGACCATCAATTGAGACAAATAATATTTATACATAAATGAAAAACTTCATCTTGTTTTCCAAATAAAAATCAGTTCCCAAGAGATATATTTTCATGAGAATCTAAGTATAATCGTGCCAGTAAGTGTCATTTTCGCAGTTAAGAAATTTGATTATCGTACTTTAAACTACGGACCCATATTATTAACAAAACAAACTATGACAAGTGCCTTTATAATTTCAAAAAGTGGCAAATATACAAACTATAACATGGATTCATTATTAAATACCAGACAATTATTTACACAACTGGACATTCGATAGAAACTAAATTAATTTTTGGACAAGCATCTGATATTCTGACATCTTACACAGATCAAAGTCTATCAGATGGGCAGGTGTCCACCAGACATTATTTCCGCTATTGACCTTCGAGACCTATCCCCCGATCTGGTCGCCACAATACACAGTACCAGCATAATGATAGGTAGTGTTTATTTATTCTACAATCATCCTGTCTCATTTCCACTCTTCACCCTCCTCAGCTCTGACTAATGTCTCTGTCTGTTTATTTGTGGTAATATTTTGTCCCGATGGGTTGCAGAACATTCTCTTGTGTGATGTAAGCGATGGGGATATGATTGCTACCACAAACGGGATCTGCTGCCAGTATAGATGTGATGATTGGGATCATGTTTGACAGAAAAATATATTAAGGGTTCAGTTTCTAGTGAGGTAAATACTGGACGATAAATGTCAGCAGGTTGGATAAATTTGTAATTTCGATACCAAAATCATGTTTTACACTTTGTGGGCTGTGTCAATGTAATAAGTTAAACAAAATTATGAACTATAATGTTCAGCATTAAAAACTCACATTTAACCCAAAAATTTAGAAGCTTATTATTGTACCTTTCATATTGTTCCAACACAATGGTTGGAACAAATCAAACACTCCATCAGATATCCCACTGGGAGACTGCATCCCACCCTATCATGGTTTCACTGCTCCAGCCCTCGTTATTTGGGTGTTACGGCAGCCCAGTGGTTGAAGTGTTCGCTTGTCGTGACAAAGACCCGGGTTCATGGGTAAATTGTGTAAAGCTAAATACTGCACTTACCTTTTGTTTGCATGTTATTTGAATTTTGAAATTGCTTTATATACAATTTAAAAAGAATATCCAGAAAATGGAATCGCATCTTACCTGTGAGCCTTCCTCCGTGCCGCCAATAATCCTGAACCCGAATCCGCTCTCGTGCCGATGTAAATGCACCGTCATCTCCATAAAGTGCGAGTCATCCTCACGCTGCTCAGGAAAACGATTCATATTCCTTGGAGAATGTCCTCCTGGATTAGAAAACGAAGACCCTGAATACAACGGAGGCCGTTTAGGCACTCGAGTGATATTGCTAGGCGTAGGATCCTCCGTTTCGAATGACGTGCTCTGCCTAGGCGGTCGGCCAACACCGCCAGGCGATCCTTGGCCAATTGTGTTGGCGTTCCGAGAATAGTCACTACCATAACTGCGATCATGAACAGAGTTTTCGAAGGATTCTAACCTTCTTGATATTGGTGGTGAATTCACATCCCCCGGCCATTGCCGATTAAAATCTTGTTGGTACGATCGTCCATGTTGCCAGGCAGGGTTTGGAGTGTACCTCCCACTTTGGCTGTAGTCACGTGCATTCTGAGAAAAATTTGGCAATGGAGTTTTACTTCTCATATCTTGAGCTGTTGGAGTTTTGGGTCTGTGAGTATCAGTTCGATAGTCCGGGCCCACACCACGATTCATTAACTCGGGCCCCGGCGTACGACTACGAAATTGTCCCGGTTTGGCATTATCACCCCTGTCGTAGCCATACCTCCCTTCTCGGTCGGTTTCCCTTCGTTCACCAAAAGAATTTTGCATAGGATAATTACTTCGAGGACTACCATAAGGATCGTGACGGAATTCAGGCCGTCGGCCCTCTTGCCGGAACCCGTGATCGTTGTGACGTTGATGGTCTCGGGGTCCCGGGGGAGGTCGGGAATTTGCATGTTCATAATTACCCGAATTATAAAAATCTGTCCGGGAATGATTATGATGGTTATTAATATCGTGGGAATTTTCATCATTCCTTAAATGTAAATCTTGAAGCCTAGTCGGCATATCCGGCCGAGCAGAAATGGGTGGCCTCCCCCTGTTGTCCATAGTAATGCCATAATTCTTTGTAGGTGTTTTGGGGCGTTCGGATGGTGTTTTGGGTCTCTGTTCACTACTGGAGGGAGTTTTGGGTCTGTTCCCCATTTCCTTGGTTGGCGTCTTCGTCCTTGTTGTCGAGGGAGCATCAACTTCATCAGCATCTGTAATAACAGGGAAACACAACACCTTACACAGCGCCATAGTCGTATGTAACTCAACAATCCCAGATACACTATCCTAGCCTGCAATATCTCCGCCATCATTATTATCTTTCCACACTTGCATATTGTTAACTCACTTCCTTGTAATGCATTCCACACCTCACTCTCGCCAACACATTTGTTTTGAATAAGCAGGCTCTAACCCACCTTCCAAAATTGATGAAATTGTCGACAATGACGGAGAATGTTATTTCCTATCAGATGTGCACATCCCAAAACCTTGGTCCGATATGCACAGATTCTCATCCAGGAGATCCTGTTTCATACCAGAATAATTATCTCAGCACCACAAGGTAACTCCAGCCTGGCTGTGAACTCTTCTAATCCGAATATATCCATCACAATTTGGATAAATAAGCTTGATTGTATCCTACCGAGTTGAACAGAGACTTAATGTTTTCTTTATCCTCTCACAACATCTGCAGCAACTCTATCAGAATACCAAACATATCTGTTATTCTATATCACTGCACTTGCAGTGGCAATGAGCAAGCAAGACACGGGCCATTTGCTATAATCCTTCCTCCAGTGCTTCCTAATTCATCGAAATCCAATAACACCATTAACATGCTTCAAATTCTTCCAAAACACAATCCACAGATTGAGAACTCCATCCACTATCCATGAAGTGAAATGAAAGTGGTCTGCAAACCAAACACTGGCACCACAAGTCAGACTGGTTTAGCATGGGATACGGCGCTTATCAACCAGCGTGATGTACACTTAGATCATGTCTGAGGCAACAACCCACTGATCTTGTTCCGTCTTGACTTTACCATCTCTCCTAACAATATGCCATGACAAACAATACACAAGTTGCCCTGTGGCTCTGAGGGAGCAAATATCGCATGTTTCTTCAAGGCATACTCTGCATGGGTGCTCACTGGCTAGGAAAACAGGCAAATGTCAGCCCGGCACCAAGCCTGCCACGGAGGAGGCTGAATGGTCGAAAATATCCTCGATATAAGAAGCAGGCCGATCACTGCTTGCATCTGTTTGGAGCAAGGTGAGAAGCCTTATAATCTTAATTATGTGCAGTCTGATTGGAACATTGAAGCTCGGTGCTTATCAGAGGAAGACAGGGGGAAGTGTGAACCTTGGTCTATAGGCCCGGAACTGATACTGAATGTCAGTACACCTGCTGGCTAGGTGGGTTTAACATGGAGATGTGTGGGAGGGGTGAGGGGGTGAGGGGGATGAGGGGGGTGGGGAAATGGGGTACACACTGCTAGGTGAGTTTAACATGGAGATGTGTGGGAGAGGTGAGGGGGTGAGGGGGTGAGGGGGTGAGGGGGGTGAGGGGTTTGGGGGAAATGGGGTACACACTGCTAGGTGAGTTTAACATGGAGATGTATGGGAGGGGGTGAGGTAGTGAGGCGGTGGAGGGGGAGGAGAGGGGTGGGAAAAGGGGGTATGGGGGTATACATTGGGGGGAAGGGGGGGATAGGATTGAGGAAGGGGATTCTCTATCTGTGATGAGGAAATGTTGCTGTTTCTTAACCGTGCTGCAGTTTCACTTATGTTCCAACTCATGGAAGAACAGCATTGAAAGGTTTCCAAACAGATTACGACACAGAAGAGCGAGTAAGGAGTAATCGGAAAATCGGAAAATTCATCCTTTGTGACTCATTCCAAGTCAAAAACTATCAGAAGAGCAGCAACGGCAATTAATAGTCCTAAATACTCTTGACCATGAAATAATGTACTGTAGAATTCACCACATTTACCCTCAAAAGAAACAGGTTCTGTGCCAATCACAACTGTATCCCACAATGCAACAGGCATTATTGTTGCTCAATCAATAACATCCAAGATTACACACACATCAAGAAATGGATTTAGACATGTAAGTCATTATGTGATCACAGTGAACAGTCCCACTAATAGCAGGGATTTATCTAGACTGGATCAGAGGCCAATATTCGGCCCCAAGCCTGCAGTAATTGTCAATAAAATTTCCCATACAGGAAATTGAAAACGTTCTATTTCATGTAAATATCGTTATAACTGATGTGATGGATTGGTCATGTGACTTGTATCCCACTGACAACAAGACCATACAAGACGAAGAGCCCTAATTGTATATCATTGTTTACACGCAATGTTAACATGCAATGTTAACATACCACTGAAAATAAGCATTTAGTACATAGGAGTCTTAAATAATAGATAAATCCCAGAAAAGTCAATTTGGAAAACATTATTAAAATTTCAAAAATATATTTGGTTCTTAGACAATCTCAATGCAAATTTTCCAGTATAAGAACATAAATACTTGAACAATGCAAACAATATTTTCAAAATACACATGTACTTCTATTCACAATCAAATGTATTCAATCTTTGTATCAGAAAACTGAGAAAACATTGTATAAAAAGCTATTTAAAAAAAATACACACCCACAAATAAACATTAATTAAATTATTGAATATTTGTGAAAAGACAAGCATTTTTCAGAAAAAGCTTCTGCAAAACAGAATTTTCAGGTTGTACATCAGTTTAAGGAACAACACAACAATGTAATCACGCAACCAACCTGCCGAGTGCGCCAACTCCGATTCCTGGCTGGAGGTATGCCCATTGTTATGGCTATCAAAGCCCTCATCAGGTAATTCTGAAATTAGAAATGTTTCGCATATTAACTCAAGTTTACGATTTCCCCCACTTTCTTGAGTTGACTCAATCCATAACAACAGATGCTTGTGCAGTCAACAAGTATTTATGATGACAACTACAGTTTGCCTGTGATGGGCTGTGTGGTGTTGATACGAGCCTGTGCTCCATGGCACGATCGCTTCCCCTTCCTTCTCACAATCTCCCCTATCTTAGACCTTTAGAGGATTACTTCTGACTGCTTTGACGATGTGCGTTCATTATCAAACCAGAAGTCCTTCCTTATGAAGTTTAGGTAAGAATACAAACATCCTATTTCCAAAGAGAATTTTCACCTCAGGACTTATACTCTAGAAAATACTCTAATTAACATAACCTCAGAACACTAAACCTTGTCTAAAAAAACCCATCCTTTTATCAATTGATCATAAACTGTATCTTTGTCTATGTCAGTACAAAATTCTTCAGAGAATCAGTAACATAAACTAATGAAGTTTTTCAAAAGATGGTCATTCCAAATAGATATTTAAGAATTTCAACTTACATACACACTGAACTATGATTAAGTTGGTCTCATATTTCACATACAAACCATTACAGATACACTTCCCCATATATAAACACAATGTCTAATGAGCATGAAATACTCATATCCCCTGTCAATAGGACATGTCCGGTTGTGTGGAGCACTACCGCCATATTCAGTCTAAGTCATTGTCATTGCCATGGAAACTCGAAAAATATATTTTCCAAAAATCCCAAACTATCAAAAGGCACCAGTTCACTACTAGACCTATCTATGTGCCAAGTTTGATTATGATATATCTCTCATGGTTTTTGAGTCCGACTCCGGAAACGAAATGTGACAGATGGTCGGACAAACAGATGGACGGACAGCACTCATTCCTATGGCCCCCACTCAACTTCATGGGGGGAGGGGGGGGGCGATAGAAATAAATACACACACTTGAATCAGCAAGTCATAGAATAGTTGATACATTATGTTGTATTGAGTCCTCAGCCATATTTAATCCAATTATCTACAATTTCAATATCTATTGAACCCCAAACCAGCCTAATATCTCCTTTCTACATGCAATAATTAACTACACATCAATATTCCAAATCCATGGCCCCCATTAAAACAGTATGATCACGCCATTACCGCCCAAACGCTGTCTGATTCTTAATATCTCTCTTTCTCGGACACCCTGTGGACATATTTCAAAGAATATCATAACAAGACGACCAGTCAATTCTCCACTTAGCAGTAATCACCCTATCATAAAACTGTCATGAAGATTAGTGTGCTGCGAGGTCAGACAACTCATGCTTTGATGTGCCCTGGTACTTTTCTTCTCCTCAATGGGTTAATTATTCCCAAGGCCTGCACCATCTTGAGCCAGGATCAACTACCAGCCCAGACAGACCAGTAAACGGACATCCTGGCTTGAATCAGTGTCTTCATCCCTGTATCTGTTTAAGGGATGGAGGATCGTTGGTGTCATGCGAACACAGATCCATCCCATGACAACATCTTCAATTTGGCATTATGCTTCCCTCATCAAGTCGTGAACGCTATTAAGCTATTTTGAGCATTTCTACAACCCAATCCGTATAATCAGTCTCGAACCCTGTAAGTGTCTAAGAATGTCAAGTGAAATATTTTGGCATCGCTTGTTAAAGCACGTTCCACAAGTTTTTAATCAACATCATCAAGTTCTTGATCAACAACGTCCTCATCTGTCATCATGTGATGGATTAGACTTGTCCCAGCTTGGACCTTCACCCAAGCCACTGACAGCCGGCCGACCTGCAACTTATGGACGAGAGTCATGTCCACCAGCCCGTGCGTGGGCGGGTGAGTTTAACATGGCTTTGAACAGTATGTCAGTTATATCACTGTCAGTTTAACTGAGATGATATCGGCTGTGGTGCAGGTATCATTCACAAAACCAGAAGCACAGACAGACCATGAAACCATAGCTGTGGCAGCTGGGATTCCAACCCAGCACTATGAGTTCCACGGTTGTCTTGCACGGCAGTTCCACTGGGCAAATTGTCAAGGCCTTTCATAACAAATATAATAGCCTAAGTAAATTTTCTTAAATTCAGCAAACTAACACCTTAATAGAAGTCATGCACTACAGCCATTTGCATGGATAGAAGCCCGGACGCACATGGTCACGTCAGTGATTGTAATTGTCCGTTCAGTACAAAATCTACCAAATACTGAAGGTATGTAATGCTTATTGTAGAACTAAAATCAGATCCTGTCAAAGCTTGGGTGGCAAGTATTTTTGACATTTCAACATATTCAATATCTTGATGAAACAGAAATGTACAATATTTGTCATCAGGTACAAATCCAAGTCTGTTTAAGCTATTTTGGTGATTTTCAGGGCTTTTCAGGACAGAGCTTAAGCTTCAAGGCCTTTTCAATCCTGTGAGAAGCCTGATGATGATTCCGAGGACAAACTTCACACAAACCTACATTGTACATTCTCCCAGTAATCTCAAGAGTATCAAGGTAATCTTAATTAGGTGGGTCGTGCATGTGATGAATGGACAGGTTCCTGTTTGTCTGGGGCCAATGTTGACCAGCTAGTCAGGTGTTGTGCTGGGTAAGTGATGTGTTTGAGCACCATTGTCCACTGCTGACATGGACACATGGCCGACCTGTTTGCTCACACCTACGTCTCATGGCGAGAGAAATGACACGGGGATTCGAGAAGGTCCCAATGCAAATAAATTAGTTTGGTAATAAATTCACATACGCTGTTCTAATCACACATTACGTAAATGCTCAAAATAATTTGGTTTGATTAGTTTTCCACCTCTGTCTTATTGAGCTGCTTGACGGGTTAGGGGGATTTCAAGGTAATCCTTCAGCCTTATCACCAGGATGCGTCCGTGTCCACAAGTTTGATAACACTTTTCAGAACTGATTCCAAATATTGTACTCAAGTTGGAGTGAGTGAGTGAGTGAGTGAGTATGGTTTTACGCCGCTTTTAGCAATATTCCAGCAATATCACAGCGGGGGTCACCAGAAATGGGCTTCACACATTGTACCCATGTCTACTCAAGTTGGAAGCCAAATTTTCATTACATCTCACACAAGACTAAACTGAGGACTTTCATAGCTGTGTTGAATGTTGTTTCAAATAATATGTCAATAATATCACAGGGACGCGTAGATGTTTACAGGAATAGTGTTGACAGACAGGCAATAGTGAGTGAGTATTGTCTTATGCCGCTTTTAGCAATATTCCAGCAATATCACGGCAGGGGACACCAGAAATGGGCTTCACACATTGTACCCATGTCGGGAATTGAACCCGGGTCTTCGATGTTATGAGCGAACGCTTTAACCACTAGGCCACCCGACCGACCAGACAGGCAATAGCCACCATACATTTCACGTTATGTACACTTTCTGTTACTGTCCTGCCCCGTCACCAGAGGGTGCTGCTGGGTGTACCTACCTCCGATATGGTTATGTCCACCTCCCTGATCCCCTGTAAAGAAGTACGCACCCGGCTGGTTGATGGGCCCTGGTTCACCGCCATGCTTCTCTTCAAAACTTTTCGACTGGAATAGGAAAGATGGCACAATGAGCATGTGGATATGTACAATTCAGTCAACCCACTATTTCAATACAAAAACAGACAGAATATGTGGCTTAAAATTACCAGTCAATTGACACTTACAATTTTTCCAATATCTGTGATCACTGTATTTCAATAATAATTTCCACATAGTGATGAGAAGACCATACAGAAATACTCACCATTTTCATTTTTCTATTTTTATGTGATGACAGTCCTGAAAAAGCACAAAGGTCATTATGCACCAAATCCACAATGAAAATTTCATCTCCACAAATATTTCTAAAAATTTGCTTGTTTTACATAAACATTTCCGTAAAATAAAATTCACAATTATACATTTAAACAAATTATTCCTTATAAACCCATGTTTGTCAGTACTAAAGTGACTTCCTGCCACATCAAGCTGACCCACTAGATGTCAAAACCTACACTGTTAAAAGTGGCTCTCAAACCAAACTCACCAAGTCATAAGAAAATTACCAAAGTTAAGGGAAACAAAAAAATTGAACTTACCTCCCCTTTGCACAATAATTTTTGTAGGTTGTCCAACAGGGCAGTCTTTCAATACGCCCACAATCTGTGCATGAGACATCTCGCGCACCATAATTCCATTTATTTCCTCCAGAATATCACCTTCCATTAAACTCTTACACCGAGGCCTGTCCAGAATCTGCTTCACCTTCTGTCCGTACGGACTGTCCGCTATGGTGAAGCCAAACCCCATACTCCCCCGCACTATATGAACAATAATATGTTCTGGTTTCGAAGACATCAGATTCAACACATCGGGGGCATTGTCCGAATTAGCAAGATCGCCAGGCATGCTGTGTTGTGAGAAACTAGTATTGGGGTTTACGTGGGCCGATCGGGCCAAATCGGGCAACGATTTCATGCTCGGTTGCGACGAGTTCAAGAAATCCATGTCCTTGGATCCACCCGAGTATGACGGCAAATGGGGCGTGATCCCGTCCTGAGGTAAATTGACAGCCACGGTAGTGATGATACGATTGGTGGGATCTGCTGGGTCAAAGGGCAGAGGGTATCCCCGGCATATGTCCAGCATGACAGTGTCTCCCGGTGGAATGGTTTGGAAGAGACTCACCACGTCCTGATGGGTATACCCCAACACGCAGCTGTTGTTGACATAGACCAGCACGTCACCTTCAAGAGAAAAACAGATACTTCAGCTTTGTCAAGTTACATTCGGAGTCTCCCTCTGATCAAACAGGCCTCCAAAATGTTCAAACGATCAAACATTATGACAGTGGGAGACCACTCTGTTTTGGATTGACTGTGTAAACCTGAGATAATTAACACAATCGCCCCCTGGCTGGGACTCACAATGGATCAGTCTTAGTTTGTTACAGTGTCGGTCTGATGACAATATTGACACTGACACGGGGCCGTGTCACTACACCTGGAATCCAGCACAGCAGAGGAAATAACAAAAATACAAATACATCCATGATAAAATTATCATAAATTTTAAAAATAATCATAATAATAAACTTGACAAAATAATTTTATATTCTTGTCCTACTTAGCCCACTGTGATTCAAGTGATAAAAAATCATTTCCCTTGCTCAAATATTCTAACGCATACATTTTTCAACAGATGAAAGGATACCTCAAGTCTTACTCAAAGGCAGTAGGGTGATAGCAAATGTGAAATAATGATTTAAATACTCCTTCACATGCAAATATGCATCAGTCAGTTTGAAAGGTCAAAGTTGGTAAAAGTAGAGCTTCTTTGATGTCTAAATTGTCTGGTGAAGAGTGCAGAGGAGGGAATCAAAGCCATTCCTGGCAGACACAGTGACCATATAAACAAACCTTCAGCACCATCAACAAGTCCCATATATCCACAAGCTGACACACACCTATCCCATGCTGCCATTAACCTTAAAGACACTACTGTCAAATCTGCAGCTTCCACTGCTTATTGTGTGTTTATTGGTGTGGAGTTAAATAGCTTGTATTCTGTGAATACATTGATGGGGAGATAAAGAATACTTTGTTTTACTACAAAGTGGGCGGTCAGTTAAACAACCAATTTGTTCTTATCTCTACAACCACCTGGGTGCTGTTGTACAAAGTGATCTTAGCGCTACGGTGATTGTAACTCCCATTCCTTAACATAGACATGCGATGGTCATAGTGCTAAGGTTGTTTTGTACAACGGCACCCTGATGACCAATTGATAACCAACCAACCAACCAACCAACCAACCAACCAATCACACATATCCCTTGTATTCCCTGGGACATGAGTGGTCCAGTCACAGACCAGGCACGGATAATCATTGTTGCATCCCTTATTCACACCAGGCTCCAAAGATCCTGAGTTCAAGCCCAGGTTCATCTTCATGATGGTTTGTCTGCACCAGACCCTGATGGGTTTCGCAACATGGTAAATGTCTAAGACCTGCATCACTTTGAGCTCTCCTCCCAGAACGCCACATGCCATGACATCACTGTCACTGTTGAAAACAGCATCAACCCAAACTCACCCACACACTCATCATCTTTCATAAAACACTTCTTATTCCCATTCCAGATATTTTTAAAAATTTCAGCATGTCAAATAATTCCTAGAAGTTGTTTGATTAAGCAGTTTGGGTCAAAACCTTTTCTACCCAACTGAACTCAGCTCTTGGCATCTGTCAGAAGATTCCATGTTATTTTATGGACCCTTATCAGCTCAGCAGACTAGACTGAATAGATTTTACGAGGCTTGAGGTTGGGACTAGAGGTTCAGTTCGATGTAAATGTCTAGGACTATAGTGTCAGCAGCTAGTGCCCACTTCACACAGGCCCTACAACACATTAACCTTGTGCTGAAAGTTCAGTCAACACACCTTGACATTCATTCCACTTGCCTCACAACTACATGCAACTCTCAACTCTCAGCGGGTTTAATCACAGTAATTATCAGACCTTAGTAATAACGTCACTTGTTTGATAAAGGTTAGACCAGCGTTTAGTCTCTGAAATGGACCCATTTTAAGATTGTCTTTTTTCAACTGTCTTTTAATACAAAATAGAAAGGAGCCCAGCAAATCTCTTCATTTTCACTTTAGAAATCTAGACTTGCCACAGGCTAGACACAACATTAGTGAAAAATACTCTACCTTTTTCATATTATCTCTTATTCTCAAATCTAGGGGCAAAAAAAGATGATGTACGAGAAAAGACGCAGTGCCAAAATCAATGCACCAAACACATAAACCTTCAGTGCATCAGTTTTCAGCTACAGTTAAAAACTGAATTGCCGGTATCTAAGACTGGATTAGACCATTACAGGGACAACTTCCTGATAAAGGCTGTTTTCTATGGTTCGAGAAAAGGAAAAGCCAGACAAGCATTACCATCCACTGATAATGACAGGAAATACAAGATTTGCTGTAGATGATATTTTCCACATGGCTGGTTATATCTGAGGAGGTGCAATACCTGATCTGAAACACTTATCTCTATATATACAGCAGCTTCTCAGGAAGACGTAACATGCATGGTGATGGGATTGAAGTAAGTTCTTATGTAACACGTACAGACATGGATTAATAAAAAATACAGTTTTTTGGATAACACTGAAGACCAGATCTCAATCAATACAAAAACATGTACATCATTTCAGGTCATGAAGTATGTCTTGCTTTTTATCTATGTTTGTTTGTTTGTTTGTTTGTTGTTAAATGCTGCACTCAACAATATTCCAGCTGTATGAAGGCGGTCTGTAAATAATCGGTCTGGACTTGATAATCCAGTGATTGACATCATGAGCATCGATCCACGCAATTGGGATACGATGACATGCATCAACCAAGTCAGCAAGCCTGACCATCCGATCCTGTTAGTCGCCTCTTACGACAAGCATAGTCGCCTTTTACGACAGGCATGGGTCGCTGAAGACCTATTCTACCCCGGATCTTATCTCATGTAAGGCCTGTATTATGCCTTAAGCCTTTACTTCTTCTTGGGGTTGTGGGGTAGTCTAAAGCATTTGCTGGTCACACCAAAGTCATGGTTTGACTCCCCACATGGATACAATGGATACCTAACATTGAATATTGCGCTGAAAAAGCGTGCTGTTGTTCTGAGACTGTATGATTATGGAAGCAGAGTGCAATGTTACCGGATGTATGGACTCTGTCAAAAACCTACACCTCTCTCTATGGTGAAAGGTACGTGTGTAAGACTGGCTAGACTTGCACAAGTCTCTAAAGCAATAACTATTAGCTTAAATCATAATTTCTAGATCATGTAAATAATAAGAACAATTTTCCCTATAAGAGACTGGAGTCCTTACTGTCCACATATCTAGACTTGCCTATTAGGAGCATAGAATTACTACCTTCCATGGACTTTTCTTTCAGTACAGCCTTGGAGCAAGGCTCGACACTGGCCTGACATCCGTACCCAGCTCCTAGAGCTGGCAAGGTGCCCCCTCCTGAGTGTATACACTCGTCCAGTGTTATCAACGAAAGTGCTCCTATCACTAATTGATCCTCCCCAGGTACATCTCATGCAAAGTGTACCTGACTTGCTCCATCTTGTTCCACAATATGCATCCTCTGCTGATCTCAACACGGGACATGGGGGAGCCTTGATTTAATTACACACCTCACCTTCATAGTTAGGGTCAAGTGAATGTGTCAAAACTTACACTAATTGAAACATGTTTGAAGAGCTTTCAGAGTAAGGGGCATAGAAGATGACGCTTCAATCATAATGTTTTTTAAATCTTTGCAACCTGTCCCCCCCTCCCCCCCCAATACTTTAAAAACATTTTAGTCTACTTGCCGAAACTGCGTCATTTGATCTATTAACATATTTTGGTCTAAATAAATAAATATTAGGATTCAGACATTATAGATCATATTGTATGGAAAATTAAATCTTTGTCTTATGATGGTCTCTAGGGAAACAATTATTTAATCAATTTAAACCTATCCTGTTCCTTTAAAAGGCTTCGACTGTTAGCCTATCTAGACTTGCTAATTAGCTGGATACAATAACCTGCATGACATACACAGCCATGGGGCAAGGCTAGCTGGGGTGTAGAAGCAGACACACCACTGACTAACCTTCTGCATCTGCAAGGGTTATTCTGAGAACTCTTGGTGCCTGCTGTTACGAAGGATGGAATCGAGTGAATATAGTGGTACATCACAGCCATGTCACAGCCATGTCATGGTGGCTTGATTGTATCATGATAGGATCATAGAGGGGCGTTTCACTGGCAAGTGGCACCCAACCCTAAGGATCGTGAAGGGGTGTTTGATCAGAACGGAAACTTAACCATAATGTTCGTAAAGGGGATCCAAGGGGGGGAGGTGGGTAACCTACCTTAACCCCAACACAGATGTGAAAGCCATATCAAGCAGCCTGAGCCAATTTGCACTATACAATCTGTGCCTGGTACACTGCATTGTTACCCTTTAATGTCAGCAATATTCCATCTATATGAAAGCAGCCTGTAAATAATTGAGTCTGGACCAGACAATCCAGTGATTGACATTGTGAGCAATGATCCACATGATCGGAGTACGAGGACACACCATCAAGCAAGGCATTTCTAACCTGGAATGGGGGATGTGTGTGTGGGGGGGGGGGGGGGGGGGGGGAGGAGGAGGAGGAAGAAGAGAGAGAGAGAGAGAGAGAGAGAGAGAGAGAGAGAGAGAGAGAGAGAGAGAGGGAGAGATGAGAGATGATGATGTATGATTGTGTCCTGATGGCCAGTCACGGGTTTGTCTGGTTCAGACTTAATGTTAACAGGCAGCTCATAAAGAGCAGAAGAATTGTTGACAGTGGTTTTTAACTTCAAGTAAAAATTCAATAATTCAGTATTCCATGTTTAGTAGAATCCTCACTGACTAAGATGGACTTGAGACATCCAAGAGAGAGTGAGTGAGTGGGTGGGTGGGTGGGTGGGTGGGTGAGTGAGTGAGTGAGTGAGTGAGTGAGTGAGTGAGTGAGTGAGTGAGTGAGTGAGTGAGTGAGTGAGTGAGTGAGTGAGTGAGTGAGTGAGTGAGTGAGTGAGTGAGTGAGTGAGTGAGTGAGTGAGGTTTTATGCTGCTTTTAGCCATATTCCAGCAATATCACGGCGGAGGACACCAGAAATGGGCCAGGACACAGTGAGCTATTTCTCTAATCTCTTCCACAGACCACCATAAACTCACTCAGACAGCCACTGTGTTTTTAAATGTTTTTATTTTATTGCATCAGTGATGGAGGTTCCTGTTAGACTCTGGGCAAAGGAGAGATCAAAGCAAGAGCCCGAGGATGGAGTGTAGTGCCGACTCAATATGCCAGCATCTGTAGAGCTGTAGGTAGGATAGCATCATCACTGCCTGAATCCCCTCTAGGTGTGTAGTACCAGGCTGAACACCGCGCAGTCAAGATCAGGTACAGTGATAGGCCAACAAAGATTGCACTTAACTACTGTAAAGTATGATTACTCAATTACACATCTCCACGGCTGTCAGAAAAATTGCAAGTTCTGGAGAAATGATAACTAAACTCTCTGAGTTCCTAATCTTCCTAATCTTTATTACATTGCTGGAATTTGCATTGTAGATACAATACACAAAAGGAGCTCAGATAATAAGCTTGTCGACAATTTGCCATCATTCACAATAATGGTTTGTTTTGTGACTCATGGAGGCTGACCTTACCTTGTTCATCTTAAATACAAGAGAGAGTGAATGTTGATTTATACAACAGACAGCAACTTTACAGCTATTACTCTGTGGACTGATGGGAGGAGATTCAGAACTTATGGAAAATCTAGACTTGCTTCATTTAGGGACATAGTTTTACAATAAGGGCTGGTGTGGGGAGGGAAAATATCTTATGGTCCACAGACTGTGTGACAGGCTAACCGTACTGAGCAACAAGTTGACACCTGCCCATACCGATGTGATGGAAGGGGTAATGGGGGCCGACGTCACGTTCAAGATTATTGCCTTCTTATAGTGACGTGTATGCATGTGTGTGTGGCTGCTTGTACTATGCCGTTTTAAGTTTTATTGTGCTAGACCACTGAGATACCATGCCCGTTTGAGTATGGATATCCCCATCTGATTAAGAGACATATTCTAATCTGTTAATGATAATCATATTCAGACCCAGTTTCACAACAGAAGGTGAGGTGAAATGGGATTTAACGTCGCGTCCAAGATTATTGCACTTATATAGCGACGTGCGTGTACGTGTGTGTGTTTGTGTGGCTGCTTGTACTAGTCCGGACTGATGCCGATTTATAGTGCTAGCTCACTGATACCATGCTGCAGTTTAACATGAATACCCCACTCAGACACAGTATACTGACTCCGAGCCGACCAGTCCTTGTTTTAGCCCCTTAATGCTGAGCGCCAGACAGGGAAACAACAAGTACAATCTTTTAATGTCTTTTGGTATGGCGCGGTCGGGGATTGAACCCCAGACCTTCCATTCACAACAGAAAACAAATCAGATTCTCACCTGTCCGAAGTTTCCCATCCAGGTAAGCAGGACCGTTCTCAACCACACTCTTTATCTGCAGGAATTCCTCGTCCACATGATCACCTCCGATAATAGTAAATCCAAATCCACGGATACTTTTCACTAAGGAAGTTCGTATAAAATCACCCTGCAGTTCCGAGGGATTTTTTGTGAAGAACGGCTTGCGGCTATCAGCTGTTGAAAGAAGAAAGTTGGGTTTAATCGAGGTGTCAGAATAACAAGTATTTATGACATATCTCAATCATCAACGCAAGGTGTATCACATTTACCCATTTCAAAAATAACCTTCCAGATTTAACATGATGTGTGTAATAGCTGCTGTCTTGAGTGACATACACAGCACATCAATCATATAGATAAACTCTAATCAGCCCCAGGCTCCGTACAATCAACTACCTGTTTCAGACCACTCAGCAAATTGGTAATAAACAATTCCAACAAACAAGTCTTTCATCTCTCTATCACAGGAACAAAAGTTAAGGAGGCTTATCTCCTCGCAAGGTGGATTCACAAATCACTTTGTATATTTTTGGAAAAGATAAAATACATCTTTCACAACACTCCTCTGTTCTAAATGATAATTCTCAGATAACTGAACCATATTCAGTACGTTATTTCAGGTATAGATGAATCAGCAAAAGACTCGATCTTCATAACTGTACGAGGCAAGGAGTCTAATTCTGATTTTCCAAAAAGATTCAAAATGGGCATCAGACATGTTTATTTCAGGAATCGAACTTCTGTGCATCAAACAAACACCTTTACCAGTTGGCTACCCCAACAAGTACAGCCACCCATGAAACACAACAGTACACGCTCCCTCATCTCTTTATCATTAGTAGTTAGGGGTGACTATTGGTCTGGAAATCACTATTGCGCTAACTATTGATATTGCAAGCAACTATTGCAAAAATATCGAAAGTTTTCAGTGTATCATTATAGATGGATTTTAGAGCTGAATTAAACCTTGGAACTGAAGTTTCCTTTGAATGTGATAACCATAACAACAAATAAAAAGTAAAGTTTGAGATATGACTGATTTGTTTTTTCTTTACCCTAAAGATTTAAGAAAAAGAAACTTTCACATTACCATGTGTAAATTACTACCACTCGTGATCAATAGAAACACAAATTTGAACAGCATTGCATGTATTTTATTGTTATGGTAAATACAATTGAAACTATCGATATTCCTAACTGAAATTGATACTATCGATTGGAAACTGATTTTACAATCGATTTATTGACTTTTAAGTGCTTACCAATAGCAATGTATCGATATTTTGATTTATCGTGACACCCCTATTAGTAATCCCTCCCCATAACTGGAACTAAGGCCAGTATGACTGTAAACATCATTACCCTCTATCCTCTGTTTAATAACAGCTCTGCAAAGTCAGCTTCCATAGGGAATTATGGGCCGTAATTACCGCTGTGTTCATTCCAACCTGTGATTAACGCGGGATGGCATCAGAACCTAATGACCCGATATGGTCCTGAGTTTCTCACGTTGGAGTAGCTCCGACTACTATGACAATGACAGCCTGGCCCTGGATTATCTGAGCAACATTTAGATTATCAGAAGGGATTGGGACTGGCATACCTGTTGTCCAAACCATGTAATCCTCGTTTTAGTCAAATTGCGGACAAGAATCATGAGACACTGGGGCCTTATTCAGATACACTGAAGTGGTAAAACATGCATATGTCAATCATTTTTATTAACCATCGATATATGTTTATTTCCATAAAGGCCAAAGGCCAAAATAATAAAAATACATTATGTGCAAATTTGTAGCACAGATAGACTGTTACCTCACCCCATCCCCAACCCACCCAAGACCAGGCCCAAAACTACCGGTGATAAAATAGATGAAAGCTATATTTCAAACTTAGCTCATGGACAAATGAAATTATAATCATCTCTAACTTTGAACATATGAAATATATATTTAGGTAAATTATGAATAATTTTCGGACGTACATCTTGCAACAAATTAATAAAGCGTAGTACACTTGGAAATCTACATAAGTATTCAGATAGATATCGTTGTCTCAAAGTAAAATAAAACAGACACTCCCTAACAAGATGGTATTCATCTTTCAATTCAGTAATACAGAACCAATAGACATAATATCTATTTTTACATTTTTACTGTTTGAAAAGAAAAGTACGAGCTAGAGCAGGTCAACAGATAACATCTTCTAGTCGTGTTGAATAACTCCCCTTTGCCCTATACAACTGAGACCAGTTAGCGTATTATTTATTGACAGAAAACAGCATCAAGTTGCTGCCAACACTTTAACAACATCCAGATTAAACACACAGCCTACGTGCTGGTGGGTATTCCGCCTCCAGAAATACCCTTGTCAGTCTTCACCTAACAGGTGCACAGCCGACCAGTTAACACGGAAACAAAAACATCACCACACTGCCAACAGTCCCTTATTGTTCTTACCAGTGGAAGATCTACAGTTCATGTTTCTACACAATCTGACCCTAGAGAAATACCCAGAATATGTGGTAGCTTTTCTTTCATCAAAGAAATAATGTCAATAAACGAACAATCACTGTGTATGTATACCTTTCAAGTTTATAGTCATAATGAAACTATTTTACAGTGAGTGAGTGAGTGTGCTTGAGTGGGTGAGTGAGTGAGTGAGTGAGTGAGTGAGTGAGTGAGTTAAAATGGGGTTTAAAGTCACGTTCAAGATTATTGCAGTTATATAGCCTGTTTTGTACAGCTAGCCCAGAGATACCATGCTGCAGTTTAACATGGATATCCCACTCAGACACAGTATACAGACACCGAGCTGATCAGTCCTTGCTTTATCCACTTAATGCCGATCGCCAGGCAGGGTGACAACAAGTACCAACTTTTAATGTCTTTTGGTATGACGTAGCCAGGGATCGAACCACAGACTTTCCCCTATGTGGACAGGCGCTCTATTCACTAGACCAAGGAGTCAGTCGGTTAAATGAGCAAGCAAACTGGTGACTGACAGCCCAAGCGAAGATCAACATTGTCGGGGCATAATGACACCCGGGTTCGTTACACAGCTCTCGACCAGTATGGCTCACTGAGGTCTATTTCCCCCAGGAATCCACAGCTACGACTGCCTGGAACCAACACGCCACCCTTCAACACTGTTTACTCAGCCCCATATAGAAGCAACATACACAGTACACCTGCACACACAGAATTATTTCTGAAGTTTTTGAAGATTTTTTATCCGAGTTTCCCAGCAACAATTCAGAGGTAGACCACGGTATCCTACAGAATGGGTAGCCAAGTTTCGACATACATGAACACGACTCCATCCCAGGACCAAGAAGAGCCAAATGTTCTTTATAAACAAGCTAATTCATTAAAAACAAATAATTACAAAATCAGGTGCAGTGTTTCTTGTGTAAACCTGTGTCGGCAGTGCAAGTGTGCAGCAAGATAACGAGAGATACGGATTCACATTAGTTAGATAAGTCGGTGGATAACAAGGCAGGCGTCATGTTATGACTGATCCATCCCACCCAACTAACACATGGCTGTATGACATTCCTCCCTGATAGTACACATATCTACCAAAGGACGAGTCCATGTACATCAGCACCTTTTAATGACAATGGACTGTGAGTGCAAATTAGTCTAACATGTAACCATCAAGTCCAACGTAACTTTGTAAAATGCAAATTCACCTGAATTCTAAATTATTCTTCACAGAATCAGAATATTATTTTAGTATTCCAACCATAATAATTCACAGAAAATACCAGTATAGATATGATAAAAATTCAATTTAAAAGCAGCTAAAAATTTAACATTATCTCATCTAATAGTAAATATATAACACTATCTCATCCATATAGTAACTATATAACACTATCTCATCCATATAGTAAACACATAACATATCATCCATATAGTAATATATAACACTATCTCATCCATATAGTAAATATATAACATCTCATCCATATAGTAAATATATAACATTATCTCATCAATATAGTAATATATAACATCATCTCATCCATATAGTAAATATATAACATTATCTCATTCATATAGTAAATAAAATTTAGGAATGGATATTTGCTTTATATTTATTTTTCAATATGCTCTTTAACTCCTAATTTTGTTCACACCTGTTCCCCATATATGATAAGATGAGCTGAAATAACATATGAAGCATATTAACCATTTACCATCAGCTTTAAAACAATTTAAACAATATATTTTACATAAGAAAGAGAATTTATGGATGTCAACTTCTTTATTATGAGGAACATAATAAAGAAGTTGACATCCATAAATTAAATTCTCACCTTATGAGTATCACTTCTAAATGCCTTTCAAAGACTTGATATGTTTTACTTACAAAAGATAGCCACCCCAAAGTTCATCCTAGTCCTCATCCAAATTCTACCTCCTTTCACCGGGAAACCTTGTCACATAAACTACCCACTGTATCTCCCCGAGACGGACCGACTGGACAACAACACACTGTTGTGGGAAAGGCTCCGTTAGATAACCCCCCTCTGCTTCATCACCAATTATATCCCACATTATCAAGCCAAACGAGCAGTCACTTCCCAACGAGATACCGCTTACCTGGAAAAGTCCGACCCATCCATAATTAATACACACACAACTCCATGTAATCATATCCTTCTGGCCAAACAATGTCTGTGTTCTGCAAACAATCACAGATTAAATAGCCATTGCTTTGATGGCGTAGCAGGTGCTTGATTTGAAAAACGCCAGCACAATATAAGAAGGAGTTGATTGCCCAAATGACAGTTATTATAACCTGCTGGCCTGGGACCCAAATCACTTGCTTATCATTGCAAGGATTAGAAACTTGGTCATATTGCTGAACTAGTTTACAGGTCTGGATTTCACCGACTACTCTTTCCCAACAAAGACCTTGCAAACAGGCCTTGACAAGTGTTATGATGTAATTCAATACACAGGACTATGGATTCAGAGTGATTTATGCTTGTTAAGGCAGTTGAGGCTCCACAGGGGAGTCGATTTCCAAGATGAAATGTGAAATTTTTGTGAATAACATTATTAACTTGGTACATTACTTCTTGGCTGTACCTAGATGACTCTTTAAGCATGTATGAGATTAAGGTGTAATCAGATTCATGTTGTGTTCAAGTCTACAGTGTG